AAATGGTAAATTTCTGTTTTAAAAAATAGTAAAGGGTAAGGTACTTGGGAGTTTTTAGAACTCCCAAGCTTTGCAATTTTTATTTTGTTTTATTTATTCAAAAATGCGGTGTTACAAAATGTGTATAAAGTTGGTCAGGTAGAGAGAGATAAGTCTTCTATCCTGTGATTTAATCCTCTGATGACTCCAGTGGTCAGGGATAGGCTGTCCTGAAGCCAGGAACTTCATCTGGGTCTCTGTGTGGGTACAGGGTTCCAAGGATTGGACATTTTCCCCTGCTTTCCTGAGTACATCATTGGATAGCAGGATGGGAAATGGAGTAGCCGGGACTTGAGCTAGCACCCATTTAAGTTACTGGCTTTGCAGGTGGCACCTTAAGCTACTGTGCCACAACTCTGCCGCAACGTTTGCAGTATTAGAAAATATACAGAATGAATCTCTTGGAGGCAGCTACCTATAATGAGGGAGCAAGCAGGACCAATATTTAGAAAAAGCATATTACACCCAAAGCAGAGAATTGCAACCTCTGCCATCAGTGAGGGCCTATTGTGCCCAGAGCAGGTTGGATCAATCCATGAGCTCACAGCTTCCTAACTTCTCTAACTACCCCCACTGTTAAATCTGTTTTTCTGATCTCTAGTTGTGATCTTAGGGATCAGCAGAATTAAGGAATAGATTTTATTTTTTTTTTTAAAGATTTTATTTTTATTGCAAAGTCAGATATACAGAGGGGAGGAGAGACAGAGAGGAAGATCTTCCATTCAATGATTCACTCCCCAAGTGCGCGCAACGGCCAGTGCTGCACTGATACAAAGGCAGGAGCTAGGAACCTCCTCCAGGTCTCCCACGTGGGTGCAGGGTCCCAAAGCTTTGGGCTGTCCTCGACTGCTTTCCCAGGCCACAAGATGGGAAGTGGAGCTGCCGGGATTAGAACTGGCAACTGTATGGGATCCCGGTGTGTTCAAGGCGAGGACTTTAGCCGCTACGCCATCACCCTAGGCCTGAGGAATAGATTTTAAAATCTTAATTTGAATTTGGCAATTGTTTTTGAACTTAACTATTTCTGAGACCACCTTATAGGAAATACTTTCATTTTGTAATTTCATCAAGGATTGGTGTTTTTGTGTTTTGTGTTTGATTTTCAGTATTATAAGAGTTTAACTTTCTGCTGATAAAACAATTTAAATAAATGTTTAGACTTTAAATGTTTTGACTCAGAACATTTCATTTATTTATTTTTAAAGATTTGTTTATTTCAAAGAGTTGTACAGATAGAAATTTTCCAGCTGCTGATTTACTCTCCAGACAGCCACAATGATGGCCGAAGCCAGGAACTTCCTCTGGATCTCTCTTGTGCTAAGTTCTGCTTTTCCCAGTTCATTAGCAGGGAGCTGAATCAGATTGGTGGAGCCAGGACCTAGAAATAGGGCAGCCACTATCTGAACCAGCACTATGATACAAGATGCTAGCATCAAAAATGGTGGCCTATCCAATATGCCAAAACATCCCTCCCCCAAAACATTTTTGAATTTTAGTATAATAGATTTTAATGTGTTTTTCATTTTTTAAAGAAGAAGATTAAGAGAAAAAAAATCTTTGAAAGTCAGAAGGGAAATATCTTCCATACATTAATTCACACCCCAAATGGCTGCTACAGTCATATCTGAACCATTCTCAAGCCAAAAGACAGGAACTTTTCCCAGATCTCCTGTGTTAGTGTAGGGACCCAAAGACTTGGGCCATCATTGTCTTTCCCAGGCCATTAGTAGGGAGCTGGATTGGAAGTGAAACAGCTGGGACTTGAACTGGCACCTGTATGGAATGCTGGCACTAGAGGTAGAGGGTTGAACTGCTCTGCCACTGAGTTGGCCCCCGTTTTATTCATTCTTTCAGAAATGATATGGTTCATCTTCTAAAAACTGTTAAGGTACAGTGCTGCTGTACTCTTTCAGCATGTGTTTTCTTATTTTTTCTCTTTAACTTTGTTTTATTTTTTGTTTTTGATAAATTAATTTTATTTTTTATGATGATTGCATAGTGGAGAGGGATGCATGCCCATGTGAACCACCAATTAGGGTGAAGAGGGTCGAGGAATGGGAGAAAGTGAATGAAACAGCTGCTCTAATTTTCTTTTTTCTTGTGGTCTAGAAGAAGTAGACAGAGAGAGGGAAAAGGCTGCTCTTAACAACCCTCCATCAATACCCAGGAATGGGAGAAGGCCACCTGATGTAATCTCAGGGTTCCCAATGTGTAATATGTTCAAGGATACTGCTTAAGTGGTTTTGATAGTTTTGAGATGCTGTTTATTTTGTTGCTTCAAGGTTGAGGAAATTCTTCCAAGTTCTTTGGCTGACATACTCCACCTTAGAGTCTCGATTTGCCAAGATGCTTTTCCAGGAGAGCTGTCAAATTTGTTCTGCTCTCTATGGTACTAGATGACCTCTGCAGGCCTCAATTAACTGGTCGTTGTGTCCCCCAAGAGTATCTGGGCATCCTGTTCACTGCACAGGCCTCAGGAACCATGGAGACACAGTTTTGACACATATACTTCACGGTCAGCCCACATATGCTGTGATTTTCACCAAGGTTGGAGTTCTGAGTCCAGTGGTCCGTTTGGGGGAAGGTCCCCAAATGGTTGCAGAGGTTATCCCAGCACTGCTTCCTGTGTGCCAACCAGTGTGGGGTCTGGCTCAGTCCATCACCCACATCAGTCTACACACCAAATGGTGGTTTCAGTCACCTGGTCAGTTGTCCCCAGTCCTATCTAATACTCAAACCAGTGGTTCCTCTGGCCTGCTCTAACCCTGTCCACCATACTCCCCTCATGTATACCAATGGTAACTGCAGCATAGTCCAAGTGACCCCAACATCTCCACTAGGCCTGTATCCTGTGCGTGGCAGTATGTATAGCATACTGATCCAGTCTGTTTCACATCCCATTCAGTTCTCATACAAGTCAATGGGCATTGGAGCCTAGCTCAACGCAGCTGAACCCACTATCCAGCCCACAGTTATGCTGGCAAGTGCTACTACCTGTCTAACCAGGCCCACTCCCAGCCATGGTTCTCATGCTCAGCAGTGGGAGTTGCAGCCCATCAGAGAGGTGTTTACAGTTTCCCTACCAAGCCTACTCCCAGCCCAAGATCTTGTACTTTCCAGGTGGTTTTATGGTCTAGTTTGATAGAACTTGCTCCAAGTCCCGGCACTTGTCAATGGATAATGAAGCAGAGCCCAACCTGCCTGCTATTATTCTGGCTCATGCATGTACCACTTGGTATGGTTGCTTAGCCCAGCCTGGTGCTCCCCCAATCCAGCTCACATGCCTTTTAATGGATGTTGCTGGCCTGTCTAGCCTGATTTGCCCCCAGTCCCAGCTGTCAAATTCACAAGTGACAGAGCTGTAGGGGCTCCCCTTGCTGGGTTCACCCTCCATCCTGGGTCTTATGTGTGCTGGTGGGAGATGTGGCCCAGTCTGACATGATTCACCTCACCTTAGCGTCTACCAGTGGATGCTATAGCTTGTCTTGGCCTGCCCCCAGTTCCAGTTCATGCTGGTGGGTGCTTCAGCCTGGCAGCCCCCAGTCCCAACCTGACCTTCATCTTGTGCTGATTCTCACATCTGCCAGTGGGTGCTATGAACTGGCCCAGCCTGGCCCACTCCCAGACCTGGTTCTTAAAATCTACTGCAGGGACTGCATCCTGACAGAATAGTTCCCCAAGCTTCTCTAATGATGAATGTAATATTCACTTCATAGGATCATTATTAGAATGTATATGTGTATGCACACATACATGTATATACATGTACATATACACAAATGTATACACACATATATACATGTATCTGCACATATGTATATAATCTAGGACAGGGCATAATGTTAGTATGAACATAATAAATATAAGTGTTTTTTTAGACAGTTTTAACGGTCAGAGAAAAGTACCATGGTTTCAGTTTTTTCCATTTTATCCTATCTTTCTAATGTGTCTCAGTGCCGCCTTCACCATGCCTTTTTTTTTTTTTTTTTTTTTGGTATAAGGGTTAATCTGTGTTTGCTGGATATTTCCCAGATCTAAATCTAAGCCTTTCATGATATGCAGTATTCCCTGTCAAACCACTTTAATGTCTTATTCTATACCATAGTGATTTATTTGAGGATAGTCAAGTCTTTAGAGTTTTGTTTCTGTTGTAAATTTCCGCAAGCTGCCACAATTTTTCAGCTTTTGTTTCTGATCTGTTCTTTGTGAGCTATCATTACTTGCTGTTGTCAGTACAGCTGCTTTAATGAATTCTTCACTTGACATCTTCAGCATCTGATCCATTGACTACTGAATTATTGAGTGGTCTAGTTTTATACAGTATTGCCTAACATAGTAGTGGAAAGTTACTTTCAGCTTATATGGTAAAGCTAATGAGCCAGATACGATAGTTAATGCTGTTGTGACTGTTGGAGTAGGTGGCAGCACAGGTGCCACAAACGTTCCTAACCTGAGTGTGAGGGTCTGATTGTGTTCTGCGATGAGAAACGCATGTGTGGAGTTGGCAATTCTAGAAGGACTTCTTAGCTTTTTTGGTTATGGGTTATCCTCTTAGACTTTGGAGGCCAAATTATTTATTACAATAAAAATGAAAATAATTTCACAGTGTTTTATATGGTTTATGTTATCTTTAGTTGTAATTAATCAGTTCCTTAGTACTTGTCTGAAAATTTAAGCCATGTAAAAATTTATTGCCTTTTTCTACTTGGTATTGTTTGTTTTGTCAGAATTAGTGAAATTACAGATGTGATAAATGCATTGAGTGGAAAATACCAGATTAATAATAAGCTTTCACAGGACTTACAGCATTTTCAGATACTTAATTATGATGGCAGTAACTAGTCATGTCTATATTATGTTGGTTTTTCTAATCATTTAATGTTTTACTATATCTGAGAAAGTTTAAATTTTGAGATGGGTTATTTCTGGAATGTCTTATACATGTCACATAACTTCTGCAGGCTGGATTTGTTACCATTTTATGCAAGATTGGTTGCCACATTGCATCCCTGCATGTCTGATGTAGCAGAGGATCTTTGTTCCATGTTGAAGGGGGATTTCAGATTTCATGTACGTATTTAAGCATTTATCTTGTAATACATGCATATATTTTTATAAGCTGAATGAGGGTTCTTTAGCTTTAAAACAATTATTTTGTTGATAAGCATATTTTGAAATATAAATAGAAGCACAACAGCTGAGAATTTATGGAATTCTACACTTTTAGGATGCATTTTTACTCAGCACAGACAGCGATTGATAAGTGACAATCCAACTGGGAGATGGGCCCATTGATCTACTGCCTTGTTCTCCTAGAGTAGAGACAGTACTTTTGCTTTCATAGAATAAAAGCCGTTCTCCAGGATCAAGACAGAGGTCTTATTGGTGTCCCCAAGAGAAATAGGATGCATTTTCCATAGAATGCCTCTTTATTTGAAGGGGATCAGAATATGTGTTGCATAAAAGGTATATAAATTTTATAATTTCAGTGAAGGCTCTGCAGCCTATATTTTATTGATTCTTGCCATAAGAATTTTATCTTGGGTATTTTTAAATCAGCATCCTTGTAACTATGAAGGACCTGTCACCAAACAGCTTTCCTTCCCTCCTACACCCGTATTGGTTAGCTACCTTGTAGAAACAATGGTTTCAAATAGAGGCTTGAGAGGATGGGGTTATGGTGGGGGCGATGATATGATAGAAAATTTAACATTGGTAATCTGTGAAAAAGCATGGAATTGAAGTGTGTGTTAGCCCATGGAAAAATCAGTCTTGTAAAATTCAGTTTTATAGTAAAGTTGCTCAGAATGCCTGTAAAATTAATAATTGCTTAATGCATGCTTTAGATCAGTAGGATTCCTGAGCACCCAGAAAGGCACAATTTCTGATGCCAGGAACCTTACATAGTTGGGGAAACAAGCATAAATATTCACAAAAGCTAGAGTGAGAAATAAAAAATCAGCCCGTAGACAAATAGTTGTGTTGGAGAGTGTGCTTTTTCTTTCTTTCTTTTTTCTTTTAAAAAATTATTTTTTGATGTTGCTTACATAGTTGACATGAGGGCCACTGAATAAGGTGGAGCGGGTAGAGGGAAGTATGGGAGAAGGTGGGTGGGACAAATGCTTCCAATTTTCCTTTGCTCCTATGTCTGTGGGGGCGGGGCAAGGGACAGGGATTGGGCTCCTCCCAACTGCCAAACTACATTAGTCCTCAGTACCCAAGTGGGGCATGGCCACTTGATGTCATCCCTGATGTGGAGAAGAATGTTCCGAGGGTGTTGAGTGGTATTGATAGTTCCAAGATGCTGTTGGTTTCACTGCTCCAGGACTGAGAAAATCTTTCTAAGGTCCATTGGCTGACAGAGTCCACCGTAGTGTACCCAGACACTTGCTGCCAGAGCTTGGCCAGGAGAATTGTTCAACCTGTTCTGCTCTCCATTCTTTTACATAGCACTCATGTCCTCCGCAGGCCCAAATGAGCTGAGGGTCATGCCCCACTAATGCACCTGGGCATGCCGTCCACTGCACAGGCATCAGCAGTCAAGGAGGCCCAGTCTCAACACATGCAACTTCAAGGTCAGACCATAAGTCCTGTGATTCTTCCTGTGGCTGGAGTTTTGAGTCCAGTGGTCCATTTGGAAAGTCCCCTAAGAAACCTTACCTGGGGTGACCCCAAACCTGATTCTTGCATGTGCCAGCTGGTACATGGTCTGGTTCAGTCTGTCACCCATATCAGCCTATGCACACACTGGTGATTGTAATTGTCTGGTCAGTTTCATTCCCAGCCCCATGTCCCATGCAAACTGATGGGTGTTCTGGCCAAGCCCAACCCAGTGTGCCACAGACCTGGCCCTTGCACATACCAGCGGGAACTGCAGCCTAGCTGGAATGATCCCCTGACAGCTACTGCCAGGTCCACTCAGCCCTGGTTCGTTTGTGTGCCGGTATGTGCAGCAGGCTTGCCTGGTACGACTCTATCCTAGTCAGGCTTTTATATACCTATGGGCATTGGAGCCCAGCAGGGCTAACACCTTAGCACCCCTACCAGGCCTGTTCCAGTCACAGATCTTGCATATGCCAGTGATTGCTCTGTCCTGACTTTCATGGCCTATCTCCCTTCTTGGCCCTTGCCATCAGATGCTGAAGCTTAGCCTGGCCTTTCCCTAATCCCACTTCTCACCAATTGGTGATGCAGCCTAGTCCTGCCCAGCCTGCTCCCCTCTCCAGCTCTCCTGCAAACTAATAGGTGTGATAGACTAGTTGGCATAGCCTGTACCCCATCCTGTCTCCTATGCATGCCAGTGTTCTTTGGTTTGGCCCAGCTTTGCCCAGCCTGTCCCCTGAGCCAGCTGGCATACCTGCTGAGTAGGGAGCAGCCCTGCCCAGCCTGATCAACACCTAGCCCTGATTCACATGCTGACAAGCAGGAGCTAAAGCCCTGTAGGAATTCCCTAAGTTTCCCCACCAAGTTTACTTCTGGGTCCCAGATCTCAAGTGTGCCAGTGGATGCTAGGCCCTTATCTGGTATAGTCCATCCCCCAGTATCCCTGTGTGTGGCTGGGTGTTGCAGCCTGGACCAGCCCAGCCTCTTCCCAACCCAAGTTCCCATTAAGTGGGTGTGAGTTTTGTGGTCATGCCTGTCTCAGTCTGTTACCATCCCAGCCCTTGAGCAAATGCTCAGGTGGTTATTGCAGTCCCACAGGAGCGAGCCCACAAAATCTCAGAGTCTGCCTTCCATATCAACAATCCCAGCTCAGGTCTCCCATGTGCATTGTTCTGACCCAGGAAAGTCCTCTGGTTTCCCTCCTCCAGAGTACCCTATCTTAGCCCCTCGTTAACCTGCAGGTGCAGTAAGCCCAGTTGCTGGAAGTCCCCCGGAGGTCACTGCTAATTTGTCACATTTCTCCCTCAGCAGTCCTCCTTCCCACACAAAAGTATTTTTTTTTTTTTTTTTTTTTTTTTTTGCTCTGCTCCTTTTCTCCCTAAGACTTATTTTTGTAGAACAAGTTAGAGAGTTGTCAACTTTTGAAATCCCAACTTTCAAGGCTGGGTCAGGTCAATACCAGGAGCCTGGTGCCCAGTGCAGTAGCCTAGTGGCTAAAGTCCTTACTTTGCATGCGGTAGGTCCCATATGGGTGCTGGTTAGTGTCCTGGCTACGCTATTTCCTTCCAGCTCCCTGCTTGTGACCTGGAAGGGCAGTGGAAGACGGTCCAAAGCCTTGGGACCCTGCACCTATATGGGAGACCCGAAAGAAGCTCCTGGCTTCAAATTGGCTCAGCTTTGGCCATTGTGGCCAGTTGGGGAGTGAACCATTGGATGAAAGATCTTCCTCTGTGTCTCTCCTCCTCTCTGTGTATTTGACTTTGCAATAAAAATAAATAAGTCTTAAAAAAAAAAAAAGAAATTGAAACTGTTAAGATTAGAGACCAGGACAAATCAAGTTACTATTCTCTCTCTCTCTCTGTGACTTAATTTTATTTTCTTTAGTGATGCTTTTAATTACATTCAGTCTTGAATAGCTTGTGATTTGCCAGGGTTTTAGTTACCATGATTTTGAAATTATTTCTTGGTATCTAAAGTGTATATGAACTGTTCCCTCAGCTTACTGTAGAAAGTAGATATTTAACAATTAAGATAAAAAAATTCTATCGAATTGTTAGCTGTCTAGGTGTTTGAAAGTTTAATTTCTATGTAAATGATTGTAATGAAGTGTGCCTGTTTCAAATCCCTGCATATATTTGTGGTAAAATTCTCAATTGCTGCGAGTTTAGGGTTTTAGTATTAGTCTTTTGCTTGGTCAAGTCATTTGACATCCTCACAGTTTTTTGTTGTTAACTGTTTAATCAGAATATTAATTGCTGTTGTTCTTAATCTTGTCATGTGGGGAAAAGTGACAGGTAGTATTAACAAAGGAGCTTAACAATAAATGCAGGGAGTGCTATATTATGGTTATTGTTCAGATGAAAGACAGGTTTGAATTTCTGAGGAAAGTTAATTCTGAGATTAATTCTCTTACTTTTGATGTTTCTTTTTACACTGTTCAGCTATTATGGGATTTTATAGCATTTAGTATTTATTGAAATGTATGCCCTAAGTAGAGGAATTAAATTTACAGAGCATTTGAACTTTAACATGACTGGTAATAAATGAAGATCTATGATTGGGCTGAATGGTTAACTGTAGTAAGTTTATAGTAAGAAGTTCATAATTATAATACACTAGCTAAGCCTTAGTAACATTTGTACGTTAGTGAGATCTGGGCATTTTGTTTTTACAGTAGAGTTTACTAGCATCAGTGTTAAGCAGAGCAAAATATTCCTCATTTAAACCTAGAAATAATACCCAGTTTATTTTATTTGGGGGGCATTCAAACAGAATAACGTTTCCTGTCACTGAATGTTGATTTTCCAAGTAATATTTTTTCCCTCTTAACTTGTAGGTACGTAAAAAGGACCAGATTAATATTGAAACCAAAAATAAAACTGTTCGTTTCATTGGAGAATTAACCAAGTTTAAGATGTTCACAAAAAATGACACATTACATTGCTTAAAGGTTAGTGCTGAATTATTTGATTTTTTAAAAATTTTAATGTTTGTTTATTTTTTAAAAGATTTAAGATTTATTTATTTCTATTGGAAAGTCAGATATACAGAGAGGAGGAGAGAGAGAGGAAGATCTTCTGTCTGATAATTCACTGCCTAAGCAGCAGCAATGGCTGGAGCTGAGATGCTCTGAAGCCAGGAGCCCCGAGTCTCCTCTGGGTCTCCCATGTGGGTGCAGGGTCCCAAGGCCTTGGGCGGTGTTTGACTGCTTTCCCAGACCTGGTACCTACTGTGCATGCAGGCCAGAGGACCCAGGCCAGGTGACACAGACCCCCCATGTCTGGGACTAATGGACTCCACCCCATATCGCCCAAGTGGGCCTAAGGACCCATGCCAGGCAACCTGGGCTTCTCTGAAACCTCTCACCCCTGGGGCTCACGGCCCCGGCCCCACTGCACAGATGGACCTAAGGACCCAGGCTAGGCGACCCGTGTCCCACTGTAACCTCCTGCCCCAGGGGCTCGCAATCCCAGCACCTAACGTGCAGGCAGGCCCAAGGATCCAGGCCAGGTAATCTGGGCCTTACCAGCTCCTCTGCCCGCTCCTGGGGCTCGTGAACCAGGCACCCTTCTCACAGGTGGGCCAGAGAACCCAGGCCAGGAGACCTGCATCTCTCTGGAACCCATCCCCCATGGCTCATGGACCTGGCAACCCCCCACATATTTTTAGAAAGAAAAGAAAAATAGGCTAGGTGACTACACTGGCATACTGGTATGGTTAACACAGATTTGGCATTAACCAAGTCAGGCTGTCCACCAGCTATTAGCTGCATTTCTACCAGCAGTGTAACACTTGCCTAGGTACAATGCTACCTAGGCCATTGTCTACAGCTGGGTTTTTTTGTTTGTTTGTTTTGTTTGTTTGTTTTGTTTTTTAAGATCTGCCTATTTTTATTGGAAAGGCAGATTTATAGAGATGAGATACAGAGAGAAAGATCTTCCATCAGCTGCTTCACTCCCTTAGTGGCCACACCTGGAGAAAGTGGGAGAAAGGTTGAACAGAAAACAGTGCAGCCACAGCGCAGGATCACATGAGGTGGACAGTGGTGAGCCAGGAGCTGGGGCTGCATAGACCGTGTTGGAAGCCTAACACAAGGGCCCAGGTCTGAAACTTGGTGGAGGGAGTGACACAAGTGATTACATTTGAAGAACTGGGTATCAAACGTGATCAATGAAATCGAACTATAGACCTGTGGGGTGACACAGCTTAGAAAACTGCGCTAAGGAGGAGAATCTGCTCACCAGAAATACAGTGAGCAATAGTAAAAGAATAGAGGCACAGTGAGTATTACTGAGACTCAGCTGCAAAGGAGCAAAAGCCTTTGTCAACCTTGGAGTTAACTGAGGAATGCATTGAGGAAATGGGGAATAAACAATTCAGAAAACTTGTTATAAAGCTTCTTATCAATGAGAAACACATACAGGAACTTAAGGAGTTTGTCACCAGGAAATAACAATTCTGAAACAAATCAAGCAGAATTATTAGAAATGAAGTGCAACACTGGAGCAAATTAAAAATTCAGTGGAAAGCCTCAATAAAATGAATGAGGCAGAAGAAAGAATCTGAGAATTAGGAGATATTTCTTGTCACAGTAGTGAAACAACCAAAAAGCTGGAAGTAGAGCTGACTCAAGCCAAAAACAGCATTCAAGAATTATAAAGATACTGCTGAAAGGGCAAATATAAGAGTTATGGGAGTTACAGAAAGAAGCTGGTTTTAAAGATGTATTCAATGAAATGTTAAATGAAAATATCCCTTATGTGGAAAGAAGAATTGGGAAACAGTATACAGGAAGAATACAGAACTCCCAGGAGGACTGACCAAAAGTGATCATCGTCATGACACATGATCATCAAGCGCTCTTCAATTGAACATAAGGAAAAGATTCTTAAATGTGCACATGAAAAAGTCGATTGACTTATAAAGAAATGCCAGTTAAAATCACAGGAAACTCTAAAGGCTAGAAGAAAATGGAGTGACATATTCTAGATTCTAAAAGGGAAAAAAACCGTAAGCTCAGAATAATTTACCCAACAAAGCCTTCTTTTGTCTTTGAAAATGAAATAAAATTCTTCCATAGTAAAGAAAAACTCAAAGAATATGCCTTTTACATACTTGCCCTACAAATGATGCTTAAAGAGGTTCTCTTAACAAAGAAAAGGAATAGCACATACCAAAATTAGGACAAATGTGAAGAACATCCCAGTGAAAGGATATCAGAAGACTAAACCAAGTAATTCACATCCCATTACAAAAAGGACAGGACTAAATTACCACCCATTCATATTAACCCTGAATGTAAACAGGTTGAACTCATCAGTTAAACGTCGCAGACTAGTGGACTGGGTCACAAACTAAAACCCATCTGTTGCCTACAGGAAATGCATCTTACCAACAAAAAGATCAGCGGACACTGTATCTCATGGATTTCAGTGTTTTGTTTTTACTTTCATCAAAACAAATTACTTTTTCATTAAAATCTTCACTGACTCATGCATAGGTCATACAGTAGCAACATTTTCTTCAAGAAAGTTCTTGATTTTCATCAGAGACACTTTAGTTATTCAGTAGCATGTTATTTAACCTCATGGCACTGTAAATTTCTATTTTTCTGTTCATTTTGTTTTCTGGCTCTTCATTTAAGGGGATGTAAAGTAACTATGTAATAGAGACTCATATCCAGATGTGAGGATACAATGCAATATGCATCTCTACTTCCAGATTAAAGATGGACTCTCAGTGAAACTGAAATATATCTTGACAATAGGATACTGGACTTTCTGCCAGTGTCCATGTTCACAATATCAGGATATACTTAAATAACTGAATGATGGACTTATGACTGTTTATGAAGAATTGTACTGTTGTAATAATATAGGGAAAATCAGTGTGGGGAGAGAAGGGGTAAGGAAAATCCCAGAGCTTATAGAAGTATATTATAATAATAAAATGAAAAAAAATGAAGATTTATTTTTATTAGAAAGGTAGATTTACAGAGAGAAGGAGACACAGGAAGAACATCTGGCCAGTGGCTCAGTGACTGGAGCTGAGCTGATCTGAAGCCAGGAGTCCCAGGAGCTTTTTCAAGGTCTCCCACTCAGGTTCAGGGTCCCAAGGCTTTGGGCCATTCTCTACTATCCCAGGCCACAACCAAGGAGCTGGAAGGGAAGTGGAGCAGTTGGGACATGAACTGGCAACCATATGAGACCTAGCACATGCAAAGTAAGGACTTTAGCCACTAGACTAATGTACTGGGCCCCTCTTTGATTGTATTTAATAGAGAAGTTGAAAGCTTTGTTTGGAAATGGTATGGTAAGTGAAATGAAATAAGGTAAAGAGAATTTAAAAAGAATGTTAAACAGTGATGAAAGAAGAAAACATCATAAGATGGTAGGTCCAAATCTATGTCAATAATTGCATGAATGTATACAAAGGCAAAATATATCAAGGAAATGTTTTATAAGTAAGACTGATTAAAGCAGCAATGTCTACAAGAGTGATATCTGTTTACAAGAAGGGCTGTTAATAATCAGAAGAAATCTTTCTGCGTTAAATTATGTTCAGAGTAGACATAGGGCATGAGTATTATTACAAAAAAAAGTGCTTGGGGCTGGTTGGTTTTTTTTTTTTTTTTTGGTGTTTTTTTTCTTTTTTTGCTTAGGGCTGATTTTTTGGCTGCATAGGTAAACTGCTGTCTGCAATTCTGGCATTCCATATGGGCACAAGCTTATGTCCCAGCTATTGCACTTTTGTATCCGGCTCCCTGCTAATGCCTGTAAAAGGCAGAGTAAGATAGTCCAAATGTTTGGGCTACTTCAATCCATGTGAGAGAACTGGATAAAGCTACTAGCTGCAGGCATTAGCAGTAAATAGTAAATGTGATAAATCTGATGATTCAGAGTAGGTGAATTAATTCTTTGACATTTGATATTGGTCATTCATTAACAACAGTTATTTTTCTTTATAAAAAATTTCCAATCGGTTTAATTTCCTTAGAATATTATTAATAGATGCATTACATAAAATGAGTCTCAGTTACTCACATGCATTTGGGACAAGCTCTGTTCAAGAAAAGAAGCTTCTTTGCCATATTTTTTTTTTTTAAGATTTATTTTTATTATTTTTTATTAGAAAGGCAGATATACAGAGAGGAGAGACAGAGAGGAAGATCTTCCGTCCGATGATTCACTCCCCAAGTGAGCGCAACGGCCGATGCTATGCCGATCCGAAGCCAGGAGCCTCTTCCGGGTCTCCCACGCGGGTGCAGGGTCCCAAAGCTTTGGGCCGTCCTCGACTGCTTTCCCGGGCCACAGGCAGGGAGCTGGAAGGGAAGCGGGGCTGCCGGGATAGAACCGGCGACCATATGGGATCCCGGGCGTGCAAGGTGAGGACCTTAACCACTGCGCCACCGCGCTGGGCCTGCCATATGATTTTTTATGATACTAGTAATCATCTTAAGTACTCAGAAATTTCCTGTATCATCCTAAAGCATTTCAGGAGGGTGTTATGCTGTAAGTTGTACTCTTAAGTTTTATTTAGGAATTTTGTATACTCGGAGTTTTGTTTTTTAAATTTTTTAATTAATCTATTTGAAAGAATTATAGAGAGAATGGGAGCGGTCTTCCATCTATTGGTAAATTCCCCAAATAGCTGCAACAGTTAGCATTGAGCCAAGCTGAAGGCAGGAGCCTGATACTCCATCTGATCTCCCAGGTAGGTGGAGAGACCTGAGCACTTGGATCATTTTATACTGCTTTCCCAGGCCAATTGTAGGGAGCTGCATCAGGAGAGCATCCAGGGCATGAACTGGTGCCCTTACAGAATGCTGGCATCTGAGGTTCCAGCTTTGCCGACCATACTGGAACTCTGGTTCCTCCTTGTGTTACTTTTTGAAAAATATATAGGAAGGGGCCCGATGCAGTGGCCTACTGGGTAAATGCTTACCTTGCACACCCAGAATCCCATGTGGGCACTGGTTCATGTCCCGGCTATTCCACTTCCCACCCAGCTCCCTTCTTGACCCCTGGAAAAGCAGTAGAGGATAGCCCAAAGCTTTGGAATCCTTCACCAGTGCGGGAAACCGGGAAGAAGCTCCTGATATCTGGCCTTGGATCAGCTTGTCTCCAGCCACTTGGGGTTTGAACCAATGGATGTAAGTTCTTCCTCTCTGTCTCTCCTTCTCTCTGTAAATCTGACTTTGCAATAAAAATAAATCTTTTATATGTGTGTGTATATATATGTATATATATATATATATATAAAGATATGTTTCTAGGTTGAAAATTCATTTCTAGAAACTCATTCCAAGAAAATCAAATGTGTATAGACAAGCTACAAGGATGTTTGTCATATTTCTAATTGCAAGAAATGGGAGATTTTTTTGGATGCCTAAATAAACATTTGCTTGAGCCAATAAAGCCAGGTTATTCAATGTTTGAATTTGTTTATGTATAGAAAAAAAAGGGGAGGATAAACACTAAGATACTGTGGTAATATGTTTTAGTTATAATCTGCTACAATGAGCAAATAATAGTTTCATAAAAATAGTGTTAACTCCTAATAATAAATAGAAAAAAGACTTTGATGTTAATTTTCATATATCTTCCTGATGAAAAAATATCGTGCATGTGAAGACTTTTCAGTAGACACTTTATGGTAGGACACAGAGGTGCTCAACAGGAAAGCTGCTGATGTTAAAATTAACTTGAATCTATGTTTCACTTTAGAATAAGTTATTACACACATTTAGAGTATTCCTTTCTGCTAGGATTAAAGTGTTTGTAGTTGTTTTCATCATTCTTATTGTTCCAGATGCTTCTGTCAGACTTTTCTCATCACCATATTGAAATGGCCTGCACTCTCCTGGAGACATGTGGACGATTTCTTTTCAGATCCCCAGACTCACACCTAAGGACCAGTGTGTTGCTGGTAAGAGCCTGAGAGTCCTGCTACCAAGGATTTCTTGGTAATCCGCTTACTGGAGCGGGTCATCTTGCTCTGTATTAGGAATAATTCTGCCTAAGCTAGAATCTCACGTACTTCAGACGTGCCATCCCTGGAGAACCTTAGTACTTTTTCTCACTTTGCTGCAATTGAGCTCACAAGATTATAAAAGCAGAACTAAGTTCAACCTGTAGAAGCTTTGATGATGGACAAGTACTCTTAATATATACTATGTTAAAGCCATCTTAATGGGGTTTTTTTGTACAGTTGCAAACCATTATTACTGTGACAGATGAACTTAAAATATAAAATATAAATTTAAATCAAAATTATAAGCTAAAAGCTTGCAAAATAATTTTAGGAGGGATATTATTTTCTAAACTACTTAAGATATTGATATAGCCATTTTTGTTGAGGATTTATTACATTTATTTCATAGTTTCTAAACATTTACATGTGTCCCCTGAGGGGACTGGAAAGACAGAGAAACAGAGAAACAGAGACAAAGGGATAGATAGAGAGCCTGAGACTGTGAGGTGAAAAGGGAGGTAGTGGTGTTTAAAAGACTGTTGGTGTAGGAATCTGTGGGTATAGACTGTCATTGTGTCGGTGTAACTCTTGCACAGCTTGTAAAGCTTATGTTATTTCTCCTAGATATATTGTATTATTTTAAAATCTTGTGGACGTGAGTATTTTCAAACTGATGCCATTTAAAATGAAACATGTAAATTAATTTCTGTGATATTTGTAGCTGATCTGCAGATTCTCTCAAGTCTTCCATCACATAAGTCATAAAAATAGTTCAAATCTTAACTATAAACAAGGGAGCAATTCCTCTTTTTCCTATTGAACCCAGACTGGTACAGTTAAATGAAATACTGTATAAAAGTATAATATAGATGCCAGAAGAAATAAACTTTTTTTTTAAAAAAAAGATGTATTTATGTTTATTAGAAAGTCAGATATACAGAGAGGAGGAGACACAGAGAGGAAGTCTTCCATCCGATGATTCACTCCGCAAGTAACCGCAGTGGCTGGAGCTTAGCCAATTTGAAGCCTGAAGCCTGGAGCCAGGAGCTTTTCCGGATCTCCCACGTGGGTACAGGGTCCCAAGGCTTTGAGCCATCCTCCACTGCTTTCCCAGGCCACAAGCATGATGCTGGATGGGAAGTAGAGCTGCTGGGATTAGAACCGGCACCCTTATGGGATCCCTGCGGTTCAAGGCGAGGACTTTAACCACTACGCTACTGTGCCAGGCTCAATTGATGGTCTTTTTTTTTTTTCCTATTTTTCTTTTTTTATTAAGTTGCATTATGTGACACAGTTTCAGACTCAGGGATTCCCCTGTGCCCTCCTTCCATGGTGGATTCCTCCACCTAGTTGCAGTATTACAGTTCAAATTAAGTCAAGATTCTTTCGTTGCAAACATATACCAAGCGTAGAGTCCAGCATCCTATTATCCAGACAAATTTAACAGTTTCTTGGGGAGACCTTCTCTGGTCTGAAGGTAGAGCTGGCAGAATATCATCCTTCTCAGTTAGGAGTCCCAGCACAACATCAACAACAATTTACAACATTATGGAATTAATTGACATGGTATTGAGTAATCAATACGTTATGACAATGTGTGCGAGTTCTTAACCACATCCTGTGACTACTTCATAGACCCTTCAATTTTTGTTTGTACACAGAACTGGCTGCTGTATACCTTGAAGTGGCGATAGGGCACTATTCAGCTGTGATAGTCATTTTTAACTGATAGAGGCCAGGAAGCCTGCAAAATATTTCACAGTGTGCAACGCGGTTCCTTACAACAAAAATTGATCTGATGTTAAATGTCAGCAGTCTCAGGTTGAGAATCCTTAAGTAACCTTAAGTGGATGATGATTGAAAAGATATTCTATGTCTCTCTCCCTCTCTGTCCTTCACCCTTTTTCCTTCTCTTTCCCTTCCTGCCTTCCTCATTTCCTCCTTCCTTTCCCAATCACTGCTTTTGAGTTTAGTTGAACATCCCTATACAAGTTACAAGGTCTTGGAGATGATAGTTTCTTATCTGTAGACACATGGCAGTTTCTCTGGTATAACATTGGATGGCGTGAACTGTGAGAATGGATTTATTCTCAGTTATACATGGAATAACTCAGCCCTGAGTTACCATTTTTTATTTACACTTTTAGTGACATACTCCTAGCAATACCTCATGATATTTTATTCCTTTTTGAACTCATTATCCTGAAATCTTATTGCTAAGAATGAACATTTGGAAAAAGAAGACTTGACTGGCAGGCATTGTGCCATAGTGGATCAAGTCATTGTGTGGGACACTGTATTCTATTACTAGAGTGTTTATTTCCAGCCTTTACTCCCCCATTACAAATCCAGCTTTCTGCTGTGGTTGGGTGGCATCAGTTGATGTTCCATATTTGGGTTCCTGCCACTCACATGAGAGGCCTGGATGAAGTTTTTGGGTCTTGGCTTTGGCTAAATCCAGTCCTAGTTTTTGGAGGTGTTTGTGGAAATCAACAGGTACATAGTAAATTCTCGTTCTTTCTCTTTCTCTCCCTTATGTTTTACTCTGCTCTCAAACAAATAAATCTTGAAGAAATATTTGATTAGTTTGGATTTTTTTTTAAGGAACAAATGATGAGAAAGAAACAAGCCATGCATCTTGATGCAAGATATGTCACAATGGTGGAGAACGCATATTACTACTGCAACCCCCCTCCAGCTGAAAAGACAGTAAAAAAGAAACGTCCTCCTCTCCAGGAGTATGTGCGGAAACTTCTGTACAAAGACCTTTCTAAGGTTACCACTGAAAAGGTAAGTCTTACTGAAGTGTAATAGTCAACATGAGATTTGTGATAGTGCAAAGCTTACAGAGCTTCAAAGAGATGTAGACATAGATCCCAAGTTCCAGTTTGTTTGATTCTATACATGTCACCCTAAGAAAGAATTCCTACACTGATACATAACAGTGAGACCTGTGTTTTATTTTTCTTTTATGAGAACTTCTTTCTGTTAGGTGTTGTTTTGTGTTAAAGCTTTATTACTTATAAAAGTTGTAGACAGTTTGAAAAATGGAGACATTTTCTACTGCTTCACTTACTGGATGACAACTGTGGGCATAGGTGGGCCAGGCTGTAACTAAGAATTTTATCCAGGTTACTCCCTGTGGATGGCGTGGGCCCAATTGCTTGGGTCATCTTCTATTGCTTTTTCAGACCTTTAGTAGGAAAGTATATCTGAAATGAGCAGCCAGGACACAAATTGGTGCGCATACGGAATGCCACTATTGTTTTGTAGGTGCCACGTTTGCCCGCCATCCACAACACTTACCCCAGCTTCTTAATTCTGATTAAAACAAATTCTTTGTTCATCCTGGTGTTATCTACAAATTTGACACTGTGACTTTATTTCTAATTTTCTATATTGAATCTTTCCTCATTCATTTCACTTTAGTCCATGAATTCTTAGCCTAAAAGGGCTTTAGGGCTTCAGGATACCCATGACCTCTCTGAAGTTTCATAATTAAAAAAATTTTTCTGAAAAGTGAACGGAAAAGATCTTTCATTGCTGGTTCACTCTTAAAGTGGTGGTGCAACTCAGAGGTAGGGCAGGCCAAAGCCGGAAGCCTAAACTCCATCTGGGTCTATCCCACGTAAGGGTACTTGGACCATCTCCTGCTTTTGCTTTTTCCCGGGTACATTTAGCTAGGACCCTAAATCATAAATGGAACAGCCAGGACTTGAACCAGTGCTCTGACATGGAATATCTCAAGCTGAGGCTTAACTCACTGTACCATAATGCTAACCATTTAACAAAGTTAAATGATGTGGTATCCTCCATTTTAGATTGTCCAGCTAACCATGTGGTTAGTCATTTGTTGGAAATTGATGTTCTCTTTAAATAAGATCTTGTTAGGTTAAGACATGTATACTCACATTGGAGTACTGGCTTCATTTACTGGCTCTGGCTCCTGACTGCAGTTTCATGGCAGTGCAGACCCTGGTAAACAGCAGCAGTTGTTCATGTAATTCAGTTCTTGCTGTCCACGTAAATGACCTGGCCTGGCATGAGTTACAAGCTGCGTTGTTTAACCCTCTCCAGCCTTGGCCATTCTGGGAATTTGGGAAGTAAACTGGTAAATGGTAACGCTTATTTATTTCTCTACCTCTGAAATTTGTAAACAATTTTTTTCTCGTAAAGGGTGTTTGATATTATTTATATGAATAATATAAAAAGAGAATGTATAACTTTTGGTGAACCTTATTTTATTATTATTTTACTTCCAGTGAACTGAGTATATAACTGTTCATTTGATTGAAAAACCTAGACTGCAGTAAATTTCTGAGACTTAAAAAGATTTAAGAAAAATAAAAATACATTCTGCCAAACTTAGAAAATCACTTTATTCCCATATCAAAAATGAAGGAACTGATGTAAGATCTCTAAAATATTTTTTAACTCTTTAAATTTCTGTGGTTAGGTCTGGCATGATAACCTAACAGCTAAAAGTCCTCGCCTTGCATGCACTGAAATCCCATATGGGTGCTGGTTCTAATTCTGGCTGCTCTATCCAGCTCCCTGCTTGTGGCCTGAGAAGGCAGTGGAGGACAGTGGACGCTCCTGGCTTCGGATCAGCTCAGCTCCGGCTGTTGTGGCCACTTAGAGAGTGATTCAGTAGATGGAGGATCTTCCTTTCTGTCTCTCCTCCTCTCTGTATGTCTGATTTTCCAATAAAAATAAATCTTTTTTTAAAAAAAGTTCTGTGATTGGCATTGTGTCATAGCAACACCTGCATTCCTTATGGGTGCCAGTTTGAGTCCCAGCTACTCCACTTCCAATCCAGCTCCATACTAATGCCCTGGGAAAGCAATGGGGAGATGACCTGGGACCCTGCACTCTGGTGAAGACTCAAATGAATTGCTGGCTTCAGCCTGGCCCAGCGTTACAGTTTATTCCACGTTTGGGGCATGAACTTAGCAGATTAAAAAAAAAAAAAGTCACTCTTTCCTTCCTGTAAAACTGACTTTCAAGTAAATTTAAAAACAAAAATTAAAAAAAAAAATAAAATTTTGTGAGACCAGTAAAGACCTAATTGGGGCTAATTCCCCACTTGCAGTGTGAGCTTCCCATATGGATGCCAGCTCATTTCCTGGCTGATCTACTTCTAGCCAGCTCTCTGCTTCTGGATTGGGAAACCATTTGAGGAGGGCCCAATTCTTTGGACCCCTGTAACCACATGGGAGATCCAGAAAGAAGCTTTTGGTTCCTGGTTTGGACAGTTTCAGCTCTGGCTGTTGTAGTCATTTGGGGAGTAAACTTGTGGATGGAAGATTTCTGTCTCTATTTCTGTAAATCTGTTCTTCAAATAAAAACAAATTTAAAAAAATTAGTTGTATGACTATATATAATTTTTTTTAAGATTTATTTTTATTATGTTTTTATTGGAAAGGCGGATATACAGAGAGGAGAGACAGAGAGGAAGATCTTCCGTCCGATGATTCACTCCCCAAGTGAGCACAACAGCCGATGCTATGCCAATCCGAAGCCAGGAGCCTCTTCCGGGTCTCCCACACGGGAGCAGGGTCCCAGAGCCTTGGGCCGTCCTCGACTGCTTTCCCGGGCCACAGGCAGGGAGCTGGAAGGGAAGCGGGGCTGCTGGGATAGAACCGGCGTCCATATGGGATCCTGGGTGTGCAAGGCAAGGACTTAACCACTTGCGCCATCGTGCGGGGCCCGACTGTATAATTTTAATAAAGTGTATTGTTTGGTTAGACTACTATGTGTTTCTCATAATAAGCAAAATTCTCTCTACCTAGGTTTTGAGACAGATGCGGAAGTTGCCCTGGCAGGACCAAGAAGTGAAAGATTATGTTATTTGTTGTATGATAAACATTTGGAATGTAAAATATAACAGTATTCACTGTGTAGCCAACCTCTTAGCAGGACTAGTGCTCTACCAAGAAGATGTTGGGATCCACGTTGTGGATGGAGTCTTAGAAGATATCCGATTGGGAATGGAGGTAACAAAAACTTTGAAGTCACCAGGTCATGATTTATAGAGACTTAAAACAATCTTTAGATCCTATTGTTGAAAAATAATAATTTGAAAAACTGTCCCTTTACTACTGTTTCTTGAAATTAGTGATTTGTCCACAAGCCCTGTTATGTTAGGTTTTCTAGTCTTCCCTTGGGCTAGAACTGAGGTAAACCTTGTTAAGCTTATTTTGGAAGACTACTAAATTGTTAGTATTTCTAGGTCACTGTTGATGTGACTTACAGAAGTTTATATACTCATTAGCTAGGAAAAGTTAACAATTTTGTAAGAATTGTCTGTTTAAAACCTAAGCATACTGTTTATTAATTCACAAATTGTATGGAAAGTAGATTATGGGGACTAATAGAATTACATTTTAATTGTTGAAGAAATTGTTCAATTTAATATTGGCTTAATGCTAAATTTATAGTATAATGTAGCTTTTAAAAATTAAAATATTTGAAAGATAAATCTTTCCTTGAGAAAGAAAAAGAATATCTGGAAGTAGTCACCTTATTACTTAATAGAAAAAGTACAATAGAAGCATTGTTGTCTTTCTATTCAGTGTTCTTTCAGCAGTTGATACTGTTAAGTTAGAGAAGCAAATTTATTTGTTAGGAAAATCTGAATTTTTTCCCCTTATTGTTATTCCCCTCTAGGTCAACCAACCTAAATTTAATCAGAGACGTATCAGCAGCGCCAAATTCTTGGGAGAGCTGTATAATTACCGCATGGTGGAATCAGCTGTTATTTTTAGGACTCTGTATTCTTTTACTTCCTTTGGTGTTAATCCTGATGGTTCTCCAAGTTCCCTGGACCCTCCTGAGCATCTTTTCAGAATTCGACTTGTTTGCACTATTTTGGATACCTGTGGCCAATACTTTGACAGAGGTTCCAGTAAACGAAAACTCGATTGCTTCCTTGTATATTTTCAGGTATATAAGCAGAAACAGCCAGTTTGGCATCACTTAATCCATTGCTTTTATTATAAAAACATTAGACAGAATACTATGGTCTGCCTAATTCGTTCTTCATATAAGAATGTCTGGGAAACTTTTAAAATATGGATTCTATTATATAAATATTCTAATTGGTCACAGCTTTTATAATTTTGGGGGTTTGGAATGATTTATGAGTTTACATTGAACTATGGATTATACTATTTAACATAGCAATTTATTGTGATTTTTATATACATTTGATTTTTTTCTTTCTAATTCTGAAATTCTCTTAAGATCTCATTTTTTAAAAGAGATTTACTTTTTTGGTAGAGTTACAGAGAGAATAAGGCAGAGAAAGATTTTCTATTTTTTGTTTCATTCCTCTAATGGCTACAACTGCCGTGGCTGGCCCAGTCTAAAGCAAGGATGCTAGGGCTTCATCCAGGTTGCCCATGTGTATGCAGGGGTCCAGGCACTTAAGCCATCATCTGTTGCTTTTCCCAAGTACACTAGCAGGGAGCTGGACCAAAAGTGTAGCAGCTGGAACTTGAACTGGTACCTGAGTAGGTGCCAGCATTACATGTGGTGGCTTAATGCCAGACCCTAAAATCTAATTTTTATTTTTAGATTTTGTCTTCTTTGAGGAAAAAATACTCATTTGGAGTAAAATATGTTATTTTTGACACAGGAATATTCATTTATTGTTAAATGCTTTGTGCTTTATTTTAGTTTTGACTAATTATATAAATGGTGATTTTGAACATGTGCATTTAAGATAAATTTGGTGTAAATTCAGGGACGCCTTATAAAGCTTGTATTCCAGAGTTAGTGTGTATCTTGGTTGGTTGAAATATGGTAATTGTTCCATGTGAAATACAACGTTTTAAGTGATTATTAGGCACTGTATAATGTTTAAGATGTAGCTGAAAAAGTGCCTATAGAACTATTTGGTTCTGGTAGTCGATTATTGGTAATTTACACATTGATGAAGAAAATACTTTTTTTTTTTTTTTAAGATTTGCTTACATATTTGAAAATGAGAGTTACTGGGGTCTGGGAGGTGAAAGATTGATTGATTGATCTTCTGTCTTCACTGCACAAATGACAGCAACAGCTGGGGCTGGGCCAGGACAAAGCCAGAATGTAGAACCTTCTTCCAGGTCTTTCACATTGGTGACAGGACAATCTGTTTCTGCTTTTCCCAGGCTAAAGATAGAGAATTTGATTGAAAGCAGAGCAGTAAGAACTTAAACTGGCACCCATATGGGATGATGGCCTTGTAGGCAGTAGATTAAGCCACAGTGTTGCAGCACTAGCCATGAAAATAAATTTTACCTTATAATTTGAGTTCTTAAAATATTGTCCACATCATTGCTGATGTTGAGAGGGATTCACTAATCTTAGGGAACTGCAGTTTGTTAACTTTGTACTGCCCCGATAATTTGCAATAGAGAGTAACTTGTTATTCTCTTATTTTCCTGAATTTGACAACAAGTAGAAGGGCTATGCAGATTTGAGTTTTACATTCTTTGTTGTAGTCGGACTGTTTTAAGATGGAGACTGTTAAAAACTTGAGTTTTGCCATAAAGTGGCATCCAAAGTTGAATCTTTTTTAGTAGAGAATCTTTTCTTGGATTCATTCTGATATTCAAGAGTGACAGAAAAGATCTACTCAGAAATATATAGAAGCAGAGGCAGAAAGGCTTATCAAATTGATCCCTAGGTAAAAATGTATAGTAGGTATATGCCAGGGAATGAGAGTCAGGAGGAAGTGAGTCCTGTGGAAGATAAGTGCAGTGTGTTTGGCCCAAAGACCAGGTATAGGCTCTAGGTCACCTAGGAAGCATCAGTGCGACAATGCTACTCAATGTCTCTGCATGCACGCAGCCTGAGGACCACTGCTCAGAGCGGACTTGGATTCCATTTTTCTAGTGTAAGGCCTAGTGAATTCTCCGGTGAGGTGCATAATTTAAGAAACAAGATGCTAGGTTAAACTGGAGAGGAAGAATCAAGCCATTTCAGGATATTTCTTCAGTTACCATATACTCTTGGGTTGTGCTTTCAGGGAATGTAAATTTAGGAGCTGGAATGCATATGAAAAAACAGACGCCTCCAGACTAGGAGGAGGGAGGGAAGATACCTGTACAGTGCCAAATACACAGTAGATGTTCAATAAATGCTTGTTGACAGTTAATGATTTAATGTATTTCAGAGACCATGTTCTCAGATACTTGAACTGATATTTGGGAAAAAATTATAGTAAAAGGAAGCTAATGGAAATTTTTCAAAACCTTGACTTGAAATCTGAATGTTTTTGGAAAATTGTGTATCTAAGTCCTATTTTGGGTATACATCTGGGTCTTGGGTTTCTTTGTTGCAGAATACCTGAAATTTTGTTTAGTGTTTTAAATTGTCTTGGGGGGCGGTGGAAATAAACAAAAACTGAAAGGTACAAGGAAGACATTCAGAGTTAACAGGTTGCTCCAAAGCTCTAAAGAGGGAAGTAGTTGGAAGTAAGATCATTGCTGCTGACCATTAATCAAAATGGTAGGTGCCTTGTACAAAATCTTTCAGTTTAGTTATTATAACTAGGTAGTATCACAAAATAATTATTTTAAAGTACTTTCTGTTATTAATTTCTTATAGCTAAATTTATTTTTCATTTGTTATCAGCGTTATGTTTGGTGGAAGAAAAGTTTGGAGGTTTGGACAAAAGACCATCCATTTCCTATTGATATAGATTACATGATCAGTGATACACTAGAACTGCTCAGACCAAAGATCAAACTCTGTAATTCTCTGGAAGAATCCATCAGGCAGGTACAAGACTTGGAACGTGAATTCTTAATAAAACTAGGTAAGCAATTAATTACAGACAGACAATGAAGGTGTATTTGGCAGACTGTTTCTAGAATTTGCTTTATAATGTTACTAGTCAGAGCTTACATTGGTATGCTTCCTATTTTCAGTGTTAAGTGTAATGTGTTAGGTAAGACCTGTGTGGCATAATTGATATCAATAAATGATCTCAAATTAGTGAGAAACAGTCACGCAGTACTTAAAGCAGTTGAGTGAAGAAAAAACACAGTCCTGTCAACCTCTCATAATTTTTGCTTGCTGATAATAGATCGTATCTTTGAGCATTTCTGAATAGATAGTAAATATTTTCATTGGACATTATTTCCTAAGAAAGTCCAGTCCAGAAACTGTAGAAGTGAATACGTTTTAGAAGTTTGGACCTATCCTACAAAATTTCATACCTTATTCATTGGCAGAGTTGCATCTCTTTCTAAGGAGTAGGTGTGCAAGTTGAGGATTGTGAATTTCCATTCTCAGTATTGTTCAGAGCTTCATCTAAGAGAAGTGTTTACCGTCATACAGCTCCTGTTAAGAATTGTGTGAGTCAGTAGAGATGTATGCAGCATGTAGCCATACCACCCTGATTTGTTAACTAATTGTTAGCATATTGTTAACATGTTTTATTATAGCTGTTTCAAATAACACAGATTTTCAGACCAGTAAACTAGTATTTGATTTTTCCCACCAACATGTTCATTAGGGGATCTTTTTATTACATACCTTAGGAACTGCTTTTTGTGGTGAAGGCATTTGTGATTATTTTCTTCCCCCTTCAAACTGTTTTTTCCTGTTCAGCAAACGTATTAACAGGACTACTTTTTTCTAAGTCCTCTTGTAAATAATATGATTGCTGGCCTTTTTTCACTGAGTATGTAGATAATAATTCATAAAGACACATGATTCTTTGATTCTAGTTCCACATTACCTGCTTTCTTTTCCTTTTCTGATTTCTAATTTGATCATTTGAAGCAAAGTATTTATCAGTTTACTTATTTCACTTTTATGTTTTGAAATTACTGTATCTTAGTCTTGCTACCCCAAGCTTTCATGAATGGTACTTTCTGTTTGGTGATTATACATAAAAGCATGGCAGTTTGGTGGCAGTGAGGAGAACAGTTCTACTTTGTTTTGTATAAATCAAAGGGTTAAATAAAAGACCTTTAGGCTTCCTTTGAAGACTCTGCCCTTGTTTAAAATATAGAGAAGGGAAAATAGGTCATTGTTTAGAAATGGAATTCTGACGATGATAGCAGTGGCCATCACGAAACTGTCAAGTCTTGTCCATTTTCCTCCTAGTATTAGACTCTACATATCAAGATGTTTGTAGAAAAGTATTTATATGAAAAAAGAAAAGTATTTATATGAAATCAGTTTCCAGTTGATAACCATAGTACAGTGTAGTATTTTGCCTATGGTAATTCTGTTTTCAAGCATCTGAGAATTTGTTGTCTCAGTTTTATTGTAACTCAATATTAACTTACTAGTTAGAAAACACTCAACATCTTGCTTAAAAATAGTTTCTAATTTTATTAAAAGTAATAAATATTCATGAAAGTAATTTTGAAAAATACCGTGCAAGCAGAAATCAGCAAGATTACTTAAGGAAAATCGTGTTAATATTTGTATATGCTACTGTTCAATCTTTTTATATGTGTTTATGGTTTTGTAACTGGATTACATCTGCTTAATTATCCTTTTCATTTTGGGGCTTTACTTTTTAGTTGACTGTATTTTTGTGTGTGTGAAAGTGCTATACTATTATTTAAACTTAATATTTGACTCATGTTTTTAGTTTTCCACTACTCTGAATAACATTCTTGTTTGCTTTTGGGTGTGTACACCTCTGATTTCATTGAGAGAGGAAGAATTATTGGCTAAGACATTTTTCTCTGAACTTGAGAGCAAAAATAAAGTGATGAAGGGTAGCAAGTTCTGGAAACTCCCAAAGGAACAGAAATGAAGGAAATTAAAATGTACATCAAATATATTTTAAAGGGACACAGTATATTTCACAAACTAAATGTAAAATTGATAGAATTAAAGGCCCCAAAGTAGTGATGATTAAATATAATTTTATATCTGCTGAAGTGTCACTCTTTTATTTTTTTTAAAGATTTAGTCCCTTATTTGAAAGAGCTACACAGGAGGAGAAAAGAAGCAGCAGAGGTCTTCATCTGCTGGTTCACTCTTTAGATAACTGTCATAAAGAAAAGGTTAGACCATGCCAAAGCCAGTAGCTTCTTCCAGGTCTCCCATGTTGGTAATGGGCCTGTACACTTGGGACAGCTTCTCCTGCTTTCCTAGGTCAGTGTTAGGGAACTGGATCAGGGAATGGAACAAATAGGACACAACTGGCTCCCTTATGGGGTGTTGCTTTTGTAAGCATTGACTTTTCCTATTGTACCACAATGCCAGACGCAAAGTAGAACTCAAAAATAGGAACAGAATGGAGTTGGTGCTCAACAGGCTAATCCTTCAAGCGCCAGCATCCCATATGGGCACATGTCATGTCCGAGCTGTTTCACTTCCAATCCACCTCTCTGCTTATGGCCTACAAAAGCAAAGAAGAATTACCCAAGTAATTTGATTTATACAAAACAAAGAAGAAGCTTTTGGCTGCTGGCTCTGGATCAGCTCAGCTCCAGCCATTTGGAGAGTGAACCAGTAGACGGACAATGTTTCTGTCTCTGTTTCTCCTCTTGAATGCCCTGGGATCCCAAATGGGCGCCAGTTCTAATCCCGGCAGCCCCACTTCCCATCCAGCTCCCTGCCTGTGGCCCAGGAAAGTGGTTGAGGATGGCCCAAAGCTTTGGAACCCTGCACCCGCGTGGGAGACCCGGAAGAGGTTCCTGGCTTCGGATCGGCATAGCCGTTGTGGCTCACTTGGGGAGTGAATCATCGGATGGAAGATCTTCCTCTCTGTCTCTCCTCTCTGTATATCTGCCTTTCCAATAAAAATAAAATAAATCTTTATTAACAAAAAATCTTAAAAAAATAGAATCAGTAAGTATTGAGAGGAAGTTGAAACAAAGCCATATATTGTATCTGATGATATAATATTGGACATGATATAATGTAATATTGGACAGACTAAGCACTGGCATGATTATTTTTAAAGGGGTTAAAATAGATCTGATTACTTAGTATTTGGAGAAATGTTTAATAGTCCCTACTTTTAAAATGATGGAAGAAAGCGTTTAAAAATGGATTTGGATGTTCAAAAAAAATCACACAGTAGGAAACAACTAAAAAGATCATTTCCATGTCAGGATATTATCACTTACAAAAAGAACACTATGAAATTGATAGTGAAGTACAGTACTCTGGTTCGTAATAAGCATATCACTATTAAATAAGGGAAGGCAAGGGGGAGAGTTCATGTTTTTTATCAGTACCGCTTCTGTGCTGAAATGGTAGAGGTGGTGTTCTTATATATGACAAATGAGGCAAGTCCAAATTAAAAAACTAAGCCAATCTAGCTAACCCGAAAAGATGATATTCTTTCTTAGTTTTAAATCTGTGGGGAAACTCTTCAGCATCTCTAATAAGTAGAGGAATAGGAATTAAGCACTGTCACAGGCAGTATTGCCCACTGTCATAAGCAGGAAAACAAACATCAAATAGCTCAACATTCAGAGAGAACTGTGGTCCTCAAAAGATTTATTGGTTTGTTTGTTTACATATGTATTTGAAAGAGAATCACTAGGACCAGACCAGGCCGAAGCCAGGAGCCTGAAGCCTTTTCTTTGTTTCCCATCTGGGTGGTAGTGTTCCAAATGCTTGGAGCATCTCCCATTAGCAGAGAGCTGGATCTGAAATGAAGTAGCTGCTATGCCACAGTGTTGGCCCTGCTTCTGGTGTTTAATATTCTATATTCTAATGTATGGAGTTTGCATTTTATTGTCTGTGTATTCCTTATATGTTCATTTTTGGTGTATTAGTAGTTCCCTTGGTGTCCTCTACTGGTTACACTTAGTAGGTACAAACTGTAATACTTAGAGAAATTGTTTTTGAAAGTGACTTGCAAAAAAAAAGTGACTTGCAAAGCAAATGAAAATATTTTAGAAATAGTATGTTTTCCTTACAGATTAGAAATATGGCCTTCAAAACCATGTTCATTTTATCATTATTCTCCTTGAGTACATAATTTGAGTATCATACAGGTGTAATGATAGTTTATCATTCCACTGTGACTTTTTTTTCTACTGAGAATTATTGGGTTTATTCCTGGCTTTACATTTTTTTTGCTGTTCATAACAGTTCTTTATTTTGCTTTTTAAAAATCCAAATGGATAAATGTAAAATCTGTTATTTTTGTCTTACAAGCTAATGACAATGAGAAAATATTTAAGTTAATGGGCTCTCAGTGAGACATGTATATTTTCCCCATAATTATTTTTCTTTTGAAATAGAATTCTCGGCTTCATTTGTCTTCTCTCAATTGTTTTTATTAAGCTTTGTACCTTTACAGTTGCATTTTTGTTTGTGTTTTAAGATGTCTTTATTTGAAAGGCAGAGTAACAAAAGGAGAGTCAGGGATCTCAGTCTGGGCCTCCCATTAGGGTAGCAGGGACCCAAGCACATGAGCCATCTTCACTGCTTTTGTGGGGCTGTTGACAGGGAGCTGGATGGAAGATGGAGCAACTGTGACCCAAGTTGCTCTCCAATATAGAATGCCAGCAGCCGAAATAGAGCTTAGCCTATGTACCACAATGCCAACTCTGTTGCATTATATGTTTTTGTCAATTATTAAACTAATTGATTTGGCTATTCAAACACTATGTATCAGTCTTCATAATTTGACAAGGTTAAATTGTATTACTGGAGTTTCTTCCTGCTGTAATTCTCCAATAGCATATTAATAAACAAGTATTTACTAAACACCTACTGTGTATTAACTATACATGGCCTCTGTTATGTTTTGCATATATAAAGCTGCTTGTCCTCAAGGATCTCATGATTTGACACAACATAATGAAATCATTAGAAAGAAAATTTAATCTGGCACATCATCAAATGTAAAGTGTTCTGATAAATTCTCTAGGTGCTTTAGTAGCATTCAGAAGTAATAGATTGAAGCACTCAGTGGTAGTTTACACAGAGAGTAAAATTTCAACTGAGCAGAAGTATGAATGGGATTTTAAAGTGTATTTTGAAGAATATTTTCCGTGAGAAGTTCATACTATGAGCAGGATCTCAAGGCAGGATCTCAGTGCTCTGTGACAGGAAGAGTGACCTGACTGTAAGGGAAGGTTTAGGAAACATGAGTGGGAAGTAGTCAAGTGAGACCTTCTGTGTTCCCTTCGAAGTAGAGAGAGTTGACTGCTATTTGGGCAATACTAAAGAATTGACAAGTGTGAATGGAAGGTGAATGCTGTTGAGGGAAAAGCTATATGCTGTGTTTCTTCTCTTCCTCCAGTTGTATTTTCACAATTCAGATTTCAGATAGCAAGTGTTGAGTTCTCCATTAGCATGAAATGATTTTATTTCTGAGGTTTTAGAGTTTCTTGAAATTCCTTTTAGTATAGTGTGTGAATAAGGCTATTTTTAATATGTATTTTTTCGTTTCTCATTATTTCAAGGCCTAGTAAATGACAAGGATTCAAAAGATTCTATGACTGAAGGGGAAAATCTTGAAGAAGATGATGAAGAAGAAGAAGGAGGTGCTGAAACAGAAGAGCAATCTGGAAATGAGAGTGAAGTCAATGACCCAGAAGAAGAGGTGATGACTTTTATTTATAGCGAATAGGTACATTTGTATAAGAGTATTTGATCATATCAGTTACTGTTCCATAATACATGAATTAAGATCTTTGTTTTGTTGTAGATGTAACTAGCTGCATATTTCTATTAGAAAAGTCCTTCAGGATTTTTAAAGAACATATTGAACATTTAAAGTAAAATACTAATCATAGCATTTTTATTTAATAATCAATTTGAAGAAAATGTTGTCTGATGTCATAAATTTCTTAATCTCATTGGTAAATATGGACTTTTTAAAAAATATTTATTTAATTTTTATTACAAAGTCAGATATACAGAGAGGAGGAGAGACAGAGAGGAAGAGCTTCCGTCCGATGATTCATTCCCCAAGTGAGCTGCAACGGCCGATGCTGTGCCGATCTGAAGCCGGGAACCAGGAACTTCTTCTGGGTCTCCCATGTAGGTGCAGGGTCCCAAAGCATTGGGCCGTCCTTGACTGCCATCCCAGGCCACAAGCAGGGAGCTGGAAGGGAAGTGGAGCTGCCGGGATTAGAACTGGCACCCATATGGGACCCCGGTGCGTTCAAGGCGAGGACTTTAGCTGCTAGGCCATGCCACCAGGCCCAAATATGGACTTTTTAACCTATAGCTTTTTTTAAAGATACATTTTACTGTTATTTGAAAGATTTAGAGAGACAGAATGAACCAGAGAGAGATTTCCATCTGCTGGTTCACTCCCCAGATTGCCACAATGGCCATAGCTGAGCTGATCGAAAGCCAGCAACCAAGGTCTTCGTTTGGGTCTCCCACATGAGCACAGGGACCTAAGGACTTGAACCATCTTCTCCTGCCTTCCCAAACTGCAGGCATGGAACTGAGTAGGAAAAGGAACAGGTGTGACCCAAACTGGCATCCATTTGGGATGCCGGCACTGCCAACTGGAGGATTAGCTTGCTTTGCCACAGAAGTGGTCCCTGATCTGTAGGTTTTGTAGTCTTAAAAACTAAATTTCTGGGTAAACTTTTCTTTATTTTTCCTCCCTCTGGTAGTATATGAAAGACAAAATGTGTTGACTTATAAAGATTGACACACCTTTTTGTTAACGATGACTGTCATAGTGAAACCATATGAAATCTGCTCCTTTACTATTTTTGGCATTCTCAAATGACATTTTTATGTGGTTTCACTTGATAGCTTTAATTATTTTTTCTTCCACGAACTCCACTTATTTTAAAACATTTAATTAAATATGTGAGATTTTCTTCATAATTGGAGTTAGACTATGCAATAAATGAGTGTGGGGGTATAGCACCAAAACTAATGGCAAAGTAGGGATTTATTGTACTACTCTGTCTCTCCATTTATGTATGCTGAAGTTCTAGGGTTAAAAAAATAAAATTTTGGTAGTATGAAGAAAGGTAGGAATAGAATTACTTCTCAACCTTTTGTCTAAAACCAGGTCTAGTGTCTGAAATGTCATCTTTCTGCAGAAAGCATATGAAATGGATTTTTAGAATTAGGAGATGGAATAAAAGTTTTTCCAACCAAATAGTGAAAAAAATTTTGTAGTCCTTTTTTTTATTTGAGTAAATAGGATGTAAGTAGCAAGTGAATTGTTTAATGCTTTAAGGAGGGTTATTTATAGCAATCATCAGATGGATTTTTAGGAGTTGCATTTAGGGGCAGATGTCTGGACACAGCAGGCTAAGCCATTCCTTGGGAGTTCTGATTCAAGACCCCACCATCCAGGCTTCTGAAATAGATTCCTAAGCATGAGCCGCAGAGGTAGCAGGTAATAATCCAACCACCTGGATTCCTGCCACCCATGTGGGAACCCAGATGAAATTCCAAGCTCCTGCCTTCATCCTAGCCTAGTCCCCATCTTTGGTAGGCATCTGGGGAGTGAGTTAACCAGGGAAATAAGAAAATCTCTCTGCCTTACTCTGCCTTTTAAATAAACGAAAAGAACTTTTTCTTTTAGATTTATTTATTTGTTTATTTATTATTGCAAAGTCAGATATACAGACAGAAAGAGAGACAGAAAGGAAGATCTTTTTGCGGTCCAAATGACCGCAACGGTAATATTGAATGATCCTAGAACCCATTCTCTGACACTACTGGATTCCCATATTACCTAAATAAAATACAATTTAATGGGTGAGAGGAAACATTAGTGCATTTATATTTCTGTTGAGCTTAGGTTTTGAATGTAATGTAATTTAAAAATATATAAAGTTTAATTTACTTACTTGAAAGGTAGAGATAAAAGACAGAGAGATCTTCCATCCACTTGTTTACTCCCCAAGTGCATACTACAGCCCAGGGGACACACTGCTGTTTCCCCAGCTGATTTGCAGGGAGCTGGACCAGATCAGAAATGAAGCTGCTGGGACTTGAACCTGTGCCCACATGGGATATCGCATATATTGGTCCTAAGTACGGTGGGATTTAAACTATTTACTTTTACGGCAAACTGGCCAGCTGACTTTACTCCATTGTGGTAGACAACTATGGAGAGAGAGAAATATATCTTACATCTGCTTATTCTTTTCCCCAGCATCCACAACAGCTACTGGAACTGAGCCAAACTAAAACCAAAGAGCCTGAAATTCGACCCAGGTTTCCTGTGTGGGTGACAGACCTGCTGCCTATCAGGTGTAGGTTAGCACAGAGTTGGAATCAGAAGTAGTCAGGACTTTTAAACTCAGATCCTCTGACAAGTGATGCAGTGTCCGAGGAGGCATCTTAACTTTTGTGCCATGCTTGCCCCATGATAAAAGAATTAAATACTCATTTAAAAATATTTTTAAGGCATGTAAAATATAAAATATTTGCCTTTTTCAAAATGTGTTAATCTGCTGATGCTGCTCAATTTCAGGAAGGCTCTGATGATGAGGAGGAGGGAGAAGAAGAGGAAGAAGAGAACACAGATTACCTTACAGATTCCAATAAGGAGAATGAGACTGATGAAGAGAACACTGTACGTATGACTTAGAAGTTGGCATTATGAAAGTGTACAGCCTTTTCATAGTACTTGGATTATAGCCAGTGACGTTTTCTCATGATTACTGAAAAAATATTTGATAATTCATTTTCTTTATTGACAGATTTTTTTTTAACATTTAAAACTGTTGTATTTTTTATTCACTTATCCCTTGAGTTATGTTGAATAAGTCTTTAGTATACAAAAGCTTTTCCTGTGAAACATTATGGTTTGAAATGTTGGTCTAATATTATTTTGTTTATTTGAAGGAGGTTATGATTAAAGGAGGTGGACTGAAGCATGTACCTTGTGTAGAAGATGAGGACTTTATTCAAGCTCTGGATAAAATGATGCTGGAAAATCTTCAGGTATAAAATGTTATTCTGTGCTGAAGTATTTTCTCAGTGTAAAACATTGTAGCTATCCTGGAATTCTGACTAAAATGAGGGTCTTTACTTAAATTAACATTTGCTTATGTAGTAGGCTTTTGAAGTTGTGCACTTGTGTCCTTCAGTAGGTTTCACATCCCAAATTTTATTTACCATTCTTTAGTTTTTCTCTGAATTTCATCTCATTATTTCCAAGATCCTTTTCTTACAGTTCATTAGGAGCCAAGCTTTTCAAAACATAAACATTTAAGCACATTTTATAAATTTTTTTAAAGATTGGTTTTTATTGGAAAGACATTTATAGAGAGAAGGAGAGACAGACAGATCTTCCATCTCCTGATTCACTCCCCAGATGGCCATAAAGACTGAAGCTGAGCTGATATTATCTGAAGCCAGGAGCTTCTTCAGGTCTCCCATGTGGGTACAGGATCCCAAGGCTTTGGGCCATCCTTCACTGCTTTCCCAGGTCACAGCAGAGAGCTGAATGGAAATGGAACAACTGGGATATGAGCTGGCAGCCATATGAGACCTCAGCACTTGCAGAGGGAATATTAACCAATTGAGCCATTGCACCAGACCCCACATTTGAAAAATTACTATATTTATTGTGTTAATGGTTTGTGTGTTAATAGGAAAATATTGGTTGTTTAATCTTTTTAAAATATTAGTTTACAGGGCCAGAGCTGTGACATAGCACTGATCCTCAGCCTGTGGTGTCAGCATTGCATATTGGTGCCAGTCTGTGTCCTGGCTGCTACACTTCCAATCCAGTTCCCTGTTGGAATAGCAGTAGAGGATGGCTCCAGTCCTTGATCCCTTGCACCCTGAGTAGGAGACCTAGCTCAGTTTCAGCCATTGTGGGCATTTGGGAAGTCAACCAGCAGATGGAAGATCTCTGTGTTTGTCTCTCCTGCTCTCTGTAAATTTGCCTCTTGGTAAATAAAATAAATTTTTTAATAGTTTGATATATTTGTGACATAATAAACTAAACAGTTTTTTTAATCACTTCATCTAACAGTTTTTAAATGTCACAGTAGTTTGGAGTATTTAGGCTTCTGTATATTTAGAGGTAAAATCCCTTTGGATTGTCTACTTTGACCATACACGTAGCTATTACTATTTTTATTTAATTTTTCAAAAGATTTATTTATTTAAAAGCAATCAGGAAAGGAGGAGGAGACAGAGAGAGAGAGAGAGAGAGAGAGAGAGAGCTTTTACATTCACTGGTTCACTCTCCTGATGGCTACAAAGGCTGGAGCTAAAGCCACCAATCAGAAGCCGGGAGCCAGGAGCTGCTTTTTGGTCTCCTGTGGGCTTAAGAGCTCAAGTGCTTGGCTGTCTTCTGTTTTCTCAGACACACTACTAGGGAGCTGGATGGGAAGTATAGCAGCCAGGACTGGAATTGCTGCCCATGTGAAATGCCAGCACGATAGCCAGCAAACCTTCAGCTATTAGACTGTGGTAATACCTAGTATGTTTTGTGTGTGAGTGAACATCTGTGTTTGGACAGTGTGAATCATTCTGGCCACAAAAGGAAAATTTAGCAAACCTGTTAAGTGACATGACATTTCATCTAAAAATGTACTTTTTTTATATAACGATGGCTGTTTATATAGTTAAATGTTCAAAGAGTGTCAAATTGCTTATAATAGAAGAGAAAAAAGCTCCATTTTCCTGTTAGTGATCAATTAAATAATAAGGGCATAGGCACACAATTATATATACACATACAAACTCAAAAATGAACAAACAAAAAATTAAAAAGAAGAAAAATAGGGGGCTGGTGTTGTTGCGTTACAGATTAAGCTTCCACCAGTAATGCTGGCATCTCATATAGGTGCTGGTTCAAGACTTGGCTGCTTCACTTTTGATCTAGCTCTCGCTAATGCACCTGGGAAAGCAGCAGAGGCGTGCGTGGGGGCTCCTGCACCCACGCAGAAAACCTGGAAGAAGCTCCTGGCTCCCAGCTTTGGCATGCATGGCCCAGCCCTGTCTGTTGCTGCTGTCTGGTGAACAGACCAGCAGAAGGAAGATCTGTCTGTCTATCCTCCTTTCTATAACTCTGACTCTCAAATCAAAAGCAAATCTTTTAAATACATATATATGTATATATATATTTAGTGAAATGGTATGTACAGTTGCTTCCTGGGTATTTACGTATGCATTAATATGTGTAAGAGAAAATTTAGGAGGAAATACTGAAGTGTTAGCGTTGTCGCATTTTGCTCTGAGACACAAGTAGCTAGAGGAATTCATATGGATACACTTAGTAATAATTTTCTTAATTACATATTTTAAGAAGATAAGATATTAATTTTGTAATCAAAGGAAAAGATAGTTTACAAATCAAGGTTTTTCTAACATTCTTTCAGATTTTAGTTTTATAGATGCTACTAACCTGGGAGGACTTCAAGTAGTTTCTATAAATTAGAATTTAAAAAGCGGTAACAAAATAAAGCTCTTATACATTTTACTTGGTATACAAGTCTCTGGAAAATATAAGGCTGGTATCAAAATGGTATTTATATGGTGGTAGATAGGTTTCAAAACCTTAAAGGCTTTTCAGCATTACCTACCTAACTTTGAGGAATCATCTACTGCCATTTATCACATATACCTATTTATATTTCCCAAAACTCACCATGTGGTTTCCTGTGCTGTGTTTGCACCTGTTCTTGCCCTGCATAAAATCCCTGTGCATACCGAAACCTGTTGTTTAACCATCTGTCTAAAAGAGGTAATATGTTGGCTTTAGTATTGTCAACTGTTCCATTTCTGTTCAACCTTTTGTGAAATCTCCACCCACCCACTTCCAGCCAGGCACAGATGGTCACTCCATTCTCTATATTCAGGTGATAACATACCTCTCATGCACTGTAGGCAATTTATGTATATGTCCATCGTACTTAACAAGTTTATGAGCCCTGTGAAGGTAGACACTAAGTCGATTTAGTATTGTAGTTTGAGCCTAACGCGGTAAATCTTCAGTGAAAATTCATTTAATTAATTGGCCAAAATTGTCAGTGTAAATGGTGTAAATAATTGATATCACCAACCAAGAAATGAGCTGCTAATCTTAATGGTTATTGAATGCATTCATTCTTGAATATTTATTCAAAATGCCTACTTTGTAAAGCTCTGCTGGGGAGCACTATGAAAAGAGTAGGGGAGTCATTGTGGTTTGTTAGGAAGAGATGTGCTATAAAGATGAGTAAAAGTTCACTTGAGGGACAGAGAGATCCACTAGCACTTGAACATTTTGTGGTTTGGACTGGCATACAGCAATAAATCGCTAAATCACTTACTGCCTTCCAGGTCCCTTATAAAGGTTTGGGCCAAAGAGGGAGAAATACTCCTTCTATAGACTCTCTGGCTCTAAGGAGTGTCATATTTTAAGACAGCATGGAATGAACTGCTTATAATTTTTATTAGTGCATATCCTTCTTATCTTAGTATTTATATACATTTTAATTCCTGTTTTGAAGCAACGAAGCGGAGAATCTGTTAAAGTGCACCAGCTTGATGTTGCTATTCCTTTGCATCTCAAAAGCCAATTGAAGAAAGGTCCCCCGCTGGGTGGTGGGGAAGGAGAGGCAGAGTCCTCGGACACCATGCCGTTCGTCATGCTGACAAGAAAAGGCAATAAACAACAGGTAAGGATTATCAGTTATCAAGAATAGGGATTGGCTTTGTTTTTTTATGTTCTAACTTATCCTTTGTTGTTGTTTCTAAGTTTTAAAAATTTTTTGGAAGGGAGAGAGAGAGAGAAAGATCTTTGATCCCCTAGTTTACTTCTCAAAAAATTGCAGCTTTGAGGGTTTGGGACAGGCAAAAGCCAGCAGACCTGGAACTCTGGCTGGGTCTTTCATGAGTGTGGCAGGGACCCTCAGTACTGAGGTCAGCACTTTCCCAGGTGTATTAGCAAAGAGTTGCATCAGTTGTGGAGCAGCCAGGACTGGGCCATCACTCCCACATGAGATGCTGGTGTCACAGGTGGTGTCTTAATTAGTTTTGCCACAGCATTAGAACCAATTTAAATCGTCTTTTGCCTGTGAAGAGAGAAGAATTATGAACTTTTCAAGTGTTTGATGGTAAAAATTTAATCTGTTAGTGGTATGGAAAATATCTGACTTCTACAGAGTGCATACTTTTTAGTGGAAATAATATTTAAATTTAAAATTTATATCTGTCTGTAAAAACATGTAAAGAATGTGGCTTTCAGTAGGAATCAATCTCGGCGTGGAGAAAGAAAGATGTTAACTAATTTATCTCAAGAGTATGCTCAGTGGCTGGGACTTTCTTGAAGATATAGTTCTCCTTCCCCAGCTTCTCCCATGTCTTTGTAGATGGTTCCCCTAAACCAACTCTCAAAAGTTAGCTGCTTTTCTAGGTGCAAGAGTGGGGAGCATATGGTCCAGAGCAGTGTAATACTTGCAGAATCATTAGGTCTGTCTGTGGTAAGTCCCACAGGTGGGGCTAGCAAGAAGGCCGATTTTTAGATTAATGGTTTTCTGTAATTCACAAATGATCTTATAAAACATCCAGATGACCTGTGGCAGATAAAATGTTCTTCACACCTGCTTTAGGAAATTGAGCATTCATCTATCAGATGTTTATTTCTAACACTCCCCAAGTGGCCACAATGGCCTGAACTGAGCCAATCTGAAGTCAGGAAGCAGGGGCTTCTTCTGGGTCTCCTACATCGTTGCCAGATCCCAAGGCTTTTGGCCATCCTGTTACTGCTTTCCCAGGCCAAAAGCAGGAAGCTGAATGGGAAGTGGAGCAGCAAGGACATGACCCAGCACCCATATGGGATCCGGGTGCTTGCAAGGCAAGGATTTAGGCACTGAGCAATTGCACTGGACCATACTGTGCCAGTTTTAGTTTCAGTATTGCATTTTATACATTTGAAATATCTATTCACTAGTTTGCTCTCCAGTTCCACACAACAGCCAGAAATTCAACCCAGGTTTCCCACATCTGTAGCAGAGCCAAATATTCAAGTCATCTGTCGCCTCCCAGAGTGCCCATTAACAACAATTTGGAATGAAAAGCAGAAATGGTACTCAAAGTGAGGCATTCCAGTATGGAAAGTTGGCATCCCTAGTGGCAGTCTTACCACTGTGCCATAAATTTACTCCATCAAATATGTACTAAGCATGTATTTTGTGGCAGATGCTGTTGTGGATCTGAGACTACAATAGGTCAAAGTCCCTGGGCGGGAGTTGGAGCACTGCAGGTTAAACCTCCATTCCATATTAGAATGCCTGGTGTTGAGTTCTGATACTGTTGATTCCAGCTTCTGGCTAATGCACACCATGAAAGACGTGATGATGGTGGAGATACTTGGTTCACTGCCACCCACAGGAGGCGTATGAAAGGTGTTTCTGGCTTCAGCTTGGCCAACCCTTGTCTGCTGCATGCATTTGGGGAGTGAACCTATAGATAAAAGATCCCTTGTCTATTTCTTTATGCCTTCCAAATAAATATTCTTTTAAAAAGTTAAAGACAAACTCCACCATTATGAAATTTACATCCTACTGAGACAGACATACATACTTGCAGATATCTGACTTTGCAATGAAAATAAGTAAATCTTTAAGAGTTTATAAAGTTTTCATTTCATATGTTATATATATAAATCTGTGTGCAAATAATTGTATAATTAAGGATGTTGGCAGGAAGTTCAATTTGAGATGTTTTTCATTTGTCATTTTTTGGTATCTTCCTATATTTTGAAAAATTTGGATTATTAAGAGAATAATAGGGTTTTTTTCTTATGTTAATGGAAGCAAACAGTTGGGGCTAGTCCTATGTGGATATAAATACATCCTTGGAAACAGATCGCAAAATTGACAGATATTCAGAAGTAATTAAAAATGACCATTTTCCAGGTGTGGAAAATCTTTAATACAGGCTTGAAAAATCTTTTTCCAGGCCTAGCAGTTAAACATGAAAAGGATACAGATCATGATTTGTTTTATGTAAGTCACTGTGACAATCATCCTTGTACTAAGGGGTCCACAGAATGAGGTCTTTCCCTGTATGTAGATGTGTGCTTCTAGCAGGGTGCAGTCAAGAGGAACTTGTGCTTTCGGGGAAGGTTGATTTGTGGCCTTTGACTTCTTTCCAGTCTTTCTAGATTTTCTCTCTGCCACAATAGCACTGCTAACTATTCCAAGATGGTTGCTGTTACCTAGTTTATAACAAATGAACATTATTTTTTTTAAGATTTTTTTTTTTTTAATTGGAAAGGCAGATATACAGAGAGGAGGAGAGAGAGAGAGGAAGATCTTCCATCTGATGGTTCACTCCCCAAGTGAGTGCAATGGCTGGTGCTGCGCCCATCCGAAGCCAGGAGCTCTTCCGGGTCTCCCACACGGGTGCAGGGTCCCAAGGCTTTGGGCCGTCCTTGACTGCTTTCCCAGGCCACAAGTAGGGAGCTGGATGGGAAGCGGGGCCTTTGGGATTATAACCGACACCCATATGGGATCCCAGTGCGTGCAAGGTGAGGACTTCAGCCACTATGCTATTGCGCCGGGCCCTAATGACAATAATATTTATTTGTTTTATTGAAAAGGCCAATTTACAGAGAAAAGGAGACACAGAAAGGGCATCCATCTGCTGGTTCACTTCCAGTTGGCCTCAATATCTGGAGCTGAGCCAATCAGGAGCCAGGAGCTTCTTCAAGATTCGTCACGTGGATGCAGGGTCCCAAGGCTTTGGACCATCCTCTATTGCTTTCCTAGGCCACAAGCAGGGGGCTGGATGGGAGCTGGAACAACCAGGACATGAACCGGCATCCGTCTGATATCCCAGCACCTCCAGGAAGAGAATTAACCTATTGATCCATTGTAATTTTCTAAGGTCATTTAATTCTACTTTAATTTTTTTTTTTCAAGCTACTTATGATTTATTTTGTTTTTCAGTTTAAGATCCTTAATGTGCCCATGTCTTCCCAACTTGCGGCAAATCATTGGAACCAGCAACAAGCAGAACAGGAAGAGAGAATGAGAATGAAAAAGCTCACTCTAGATATCAATGAACGGCAAGAACAAGAAGATTATCAAGGTACAGAATTATTTGTAAAAGAGAAATCTGTTGCTTTTGTGAGTTTTATATAGCCTTCTTGAGCTAACTGAACTTTATGTAACAGACCATAGGCACTTGATAAGCCAGCCTTCTGTCATTTTTGCTATATGCAGAGTTTAGACCCCCAATATAGTTTTAGTTGCTTTGTATAGCAGTGTTTAAAAAACTGCTGACTGTTCAAAAGCACTGTGTAAATAAATATTTCTGGTTTTCTGTATTAAAAATCCCACTTCAGATTCTTTTCTGTCAGTTGGTATCCAACATTGATAATAGCCAGAGCAAGTAGTTACTGTGATGGGATTAGTGAGATGCTCTTTACAGGTACTCTTTGCAAGGTATCCAGTCCTCAACAATAATTCCATGATTTAAGGATGTTACCGTTTATATTTGACCTTTAGGAAAGGAGAACCTGAAGTCCAGTAGCTTGTAAGTGGCACAGTGCGGACTTGAACCAGTGCTCTTGCTCCAAACATTGTGTCCTGTAGTGCCTTTAACAAAATGGGGACCCTGCAAGATTGTAAGAATTTCCTTGCTTGCTTCTTTAAATACTGTGTGACCATTTAGTCTTTTTTAGTTACCTGATGAGACAAATAGACTTGATTTTACATTTTATTAATCAAGGGATTGCATTTATGAGAGCTAGCAGCATTTTCTCTTTTGCTCTTGGTTACAGAAATGTTACAGTCTCTTGCACAGCGTCCGGCTCCAGCAAACACCAATCGTGAGCGACGGCCTCGTTACCAACATCCAAAGGGAGCACCTAATGCAGATCTAATCTTTAAGACTGGTGGGAGGTAAAATGATCTTTAACTTCTTCCTTAGCTGTTGAGTGTGTGCGTGTGTGTGTGATGTCCATTGCAGTCAATTTGAGAATTATAGATTATACTCAGTGATAAAAGTCTAATTAATAACAAAATAGCAGTGTCTTTGAGTGGTATATTTTTAAGAAAAATCTGTTTTAGTCAACACCTGTAGCTGTTTCTTATGAAGACATTAACTTGGACACATCTTGGCTTTCAGTCTAAGTGGGCTTCTTACTCTTTTACATGTATAGAAATGACTAGTTATAAATAGTTCAAGGGAATACACAGAGTTTATGTGAGGATTGCCTAAATCAGGATTAATTAATCTTAGTGTGTACGAAAACTAGCAGTTTGTTTGCTAGACTTTCGGGCATGAAGATATACTTTTGTTTTCAACTAGATTTTGTTTTTAAGTTATAAAATTTCTTGATGGAATGCATACCAGTTCAACTTAAAAATAATTTAAAATTGTTTAATATGAAATAATTAAAATTGAGAAATTTTTTACTGAAGATGTTCCTCATAAAACCACCCTGATGTTTTTTAACTGCTAGACCACAGCGCCAGGCCTGGGGACCCTGATGTTTTTTAAGTTATTTAAAGATTTTCTAGAACACACTACCAACAGCTCAGTTTTCTGTCTTGTGGTCAAGTTAGAATCAAAAAGTGATAGTGATGTCATCTGCCTGTGCCAGTGTCATCCCCTCAGGGAACTAAGGTTTACTTTGAGAACACGGCGACTGTGGATGGCACTTTGCTGTTGGGGATCCTGGAGGAAGTGTGGAAGGGACAGTTCCGGCTTCAGCAGAAATGGATTATCATTAAGGGAGTAGTGCCCTTTTACTCACCGAACATCTTTTCACGTCCTGATAACAGTTTTTTAAAACTATGCACTCAAATGACTGATGTCTCATGGAAGTGTGTAAATGTATTTGTTAACATCTATTGAGTATATTTTTTTAATTCAAATTAGAATATATAACTCCCTCAAATTAAATGTCATAGGACATTAGATTATTTTTAGTTCTCAAAGCTTCACTAAAGTGCTTGCTTCGGCAGCACATGCACTAAAATTGGAATGATACAGAGAAGATTAACATGGCCCCTGCACAAGAATGACGTACAAATTCATGAAGCATTTCATATCTTTTTATAAAAAGAAAAAAGTGTCACTAAAATGCCTTTGATGAAATCTGTTTCACAACTGCTAAAATGGAGAAACTAGCTTGCTAGACTAATAGACAATGAAAAATATGAATTTCCTGCTTTTGCATTTTCTTAGAACAACTTGGAATATACATGTAGTAGTGTATTCCCCTCTTTGTCTAGTTACCACACAACAAAGCTATTACAATGTTCTTATCGTGATCATTATATCTGGTAGCAACTTCATATGCCCAGATACTTGAAAAGTAATTCTTCTCCATTCATTTATTATTTTTAAAAACTCTGGGATTCTGTCAAGTACAAAGCATTTCTTAGGCAGTAGGAAGCAAAGATGAAGATGGGAGAGCACATTGGTAAGCCTGGCCTACAATTAATGTATTTTTGAATACAAAAGAACGTCTGTCTTGGTTTGGTACCAGTGGCTATTTTTCAAAATTCTTCAACTTTGTTTTTCTTTCCTCCCACCTCCCTCTCACTCTTTGAAAGAATTGGCCACGTTTATTCTTTCTTCTTCACCTCCCACTTTGCTGAAGCCACCTTGGTCAAGGTCCCCAGCCTCCTGCCTGCCTCACAGTTGTTGCTCGTGCCATGTCTCGGTGACACTTCATACCATGGTCCCTTATCCTTTTCTTGACATATCCACTTCTCTCGGCTTATATGACTCTTTTGTTTTCCCTTACCTCTTTGATCCCTCTAACTTCTTTATGCATTTGCCCTCCTTGGTGTTGCTGTCCTCAGACTCAGCCTGGTCTTTGTCTTCTCTTGTTACGCTTTCCATAGGAGATGTCATCTCTCTGGCTCCAGTACCATCCAGATCCGCAATGCAGATCTTACACTTTGGTCTGGCTCTAGGTCTCAGAAATAAACTTGAGAGTGTCCTCTGTCCGGAGCCCCATTCCTCACCTCTGTCTTCAATCTCAGTAAATGCAAGCGTTGGCCACTCTATGGTACAAATGAGGACAGATGTTTCATTTTTCACTCCTCCCTCTGCCTCCATTCCCACATCTAGTTCATGAACAAATCCTGTCATACTGGATGATTTTATCACACTCCACTGCCAAGATCAAGCTACCGTTACTTGTCATTTGGACTATTGCCACAGGTTTCACCTTGACTACTGTCTCCGGTTTCAACACCTTCCGTCCAGTGTGTTCCCTGTGCTATACTGATGTTCTTTCTAAGATACAAATCTGAAATCTGACTATGTGAGCCCTTCTGCTTCACCGTTCAGGAACTCTGTAGGGTTTGTAGGGTAAAATTCAAACCTCTCCACTCCTGTAACAAGAGCCTGTTCAGGTACATTTGTGTTAGCTTCATCTTTTGCTGTCTTTTCTTTTCCCTACTTCAACCAAACTTGCTTTTCAGTTCCTGCCAGTTCTTTTTTTGGCCTCTCCCCTGGAACAGCTTCCTGCTGTTGCCCCTGGATATCTCTTATTCTTTATGCAGGTCTCAGTCTGACATAATTCAGGGAAAATATGCTGCTGTGACTCAGTGTTTTCCCATATTCCTTCTCCTGCTTACCATGCCCAGGGAGAGTAAAGGGCAGGAACTCTTGTCATATCTTGTTTTCATTATATCTCCTTTGTAGATGTTAGTGCTGGGTACCTAATAGATACTCAGTAAGTATTTGTTAAATGTAAAAGGAAACTTGTTACAATGTTATTGAGTTATTTTAATAAACTTTCTTCCTTCAGTTCTGCTCCCAAGCTTTTTCATCCTGTTTTTATTTTTATATGAGGGTCCCAACTTGTGTGCTAATTTTTCAACTTGTTATGAAAAGAAAAAAGAAAATTAGTCTACCTGCCTTTCATTCTTAAGAAGGGTGCTGTTTTCCTAGTCAGTGCTCCTCAAAGGTAGGGGTGGGTGAAAGTTTAGGGACAGGTAAATGTTGGTTTCACGCCTTTCCAAGTACCAAATATTCTATGCCATTTTTTAAACTTCAGTATTGAGTGAAGGAATGTAGTTGGTTAAAAGAATGAACTAATGGAATGGAATCTCCTGGTGGTTTGGCCTCTCTCCATCTTCTAATTTTAACCCTGAACCAGACTTGTGTTGGTAGGAATGGGTGTGCCCTGGAGCAGGGTGGGCAGGACTGCAGAGCACATTGTGAAGGACTGTAAGGCGGGGGCTTGATCCCTTTCTAGTGTTTGTGACGTTAAATGGCAGTTAAAGGGGGTTCACTTGCAGAGACCATTTTTTAAAGTATCGTAGAGGTTTTTCATCTTGGAATTTTGATAGACTCCCAGGCATTAGTCACAATTATTTCTGTATTTTCCACTCAGGGGAGCCTTGAAATAGAAGTGTCTATTAAAGCTTCAGTCCTTTAACAAACAATAGGCATTTGTTTACAGTGAGTTAACAGAGCAGGAGCACAGGCATTAATGCGGATGTAGTGTAGAGGCTCCAGATTTGTACAAATTTCAGTGTTTTTCTGACTTTCAAATACATATTAATCATCCAGACTTTTAGTAAAATGCAGGTTCTGTTTCAGTTCCTATAAGCTGCAGGTGTTATTTAAAGCACCAACATGTAGACCACTTCTAGAGTAACAAGGGTTTGACATGCCTTAAGTCTTATGGGAAGAAAATCCATCCTTAGGAAGTACATTTTTTAAGAAGAAGCATTTTTTGTTGTTTTTATTGTGAGATTCAATTACTGATGGTGGCATACATTTAATCAGAGGTGTATGTTACAAATACTTTTTTGTATTCTTAGAATTTTAACTCACTCAGAAGGAATGATTGCCTGTAAAGCAAATGGTTTGCACTGTAACCAGTGTTATATCATATTTAACAAATACTTTTAAAAGATTTATTTATATTTTATTGAAAAGGAAGTTTTATAGAAAGTTGAGTCAGGAAAAGAGGTCTTCCATTCACTGGTTGACTCCCCAAATGACCGTAGTGACTGAAGCTGAGCTGATCTGAAGGCACGAGCTTCTTTGAAGTTTCCCCCAAGGGAGCAGGGTCTCAAGGCTTTGGGCTGTCCTCTGCCACTTTTAACAGGGAGCTGGATGGGAAGTGGAGCAGCCAGGACACAAACCAGTGCCCATATGGAGGCCTGGTACTTGCAGATAGAGGATTATTTGTTGAACCACAGTTTTGGCCCTTTAAAAAGTACTTTGAATGTTGTTTCCTGTCATTCTTCATATTTGTTTAAAATATTGTATTTAATATTGCTGTTTTGTTTTGTCTTGGGGGATATCTCATTATTTTAGGGAATAATTGTTAGGTTCCCCCTGCCTTCATACCAGTTCTGGCACAGTTAGATGTATAGAGTGAGGAACTGCTTTTCCATATTCACATTTTCATCTGTGCAAGTTTCTTGCTGATGTAACTCTCTCTGTGAAAAACAGATTGTAGTTGTCTGCTCAAGCTATCCTAACAGAGTAGCTTACACAATAGAGATTTGTCTCACAGCTCTGGAGGCAACAGACCTGTAGTCAAAGGAAGATTAGTTCCTTTTGGCAGCTGTGAGGAGGAATTTGTCCCAAGCATCTCTTATTTCTTCTAGCTGTCAGTGTTTTTTGTAGCGGTAGTAGTAGTGGTGGTCATAGTTTTTATTATTATTATTTTTTTTGACAATGCAATTCCATAGGCTCTGGGGTTTCCCCTCTCCTCACTGATTTCCCCAATATTTTTGCAAATATCAGTGTTCCTTCATCTGTGGAATCCTTGTGCCCTCTGCCTTCATATTTACATGGGGTTCTTCTGTGTGTGCATGCATGTGTCATTTTCACAATGACATGGTCCTGGTATATGCAGGACTGCTATTTCCAAATAAGCTCACATTCTGGGAGACTGGAAGTACATGTGTCAGCACGTGAATTTCAGGGCTACTTAGTTCAGCAGTGACACCAACCTTGAATTCTTGGCGTTTTAGAAATTATTCAGAGAAAATTTCTTGAAGCAACTGTCAGAGTGCTCCTGTTTTGTCTGAAGTTAGTAGAGAGCATGTATATGAGGCTACTGCAAAATGTGTAAGTTTGATTAAAAAAGAGTTGAAATGGATACATATGAGGGCTCTTCAGAAAGTTCACAGAAATACATGTTGTCACAAAATGCATGATTTTAATAAATTTTCGCATCAATATGAAGTTGCCTTTTAATCCCATTGCCATGAATTTTTGAAGTAGCCTCATATGCTACTTCAAAAAAAAAAAAGAGCCAAGTTGAAGAAGTCATTGGATGATAGTTGGCAATATTTAAGGGTCTGCTTCTTGCTCAAGCTTTCCCTACGGCAGTAAGCCTTCTAATGTCACCCTGTTTGTACCTTTAGGAGACGTTGATCCAGCAGCACGTGTCATTTCATTAGGTCCTGTATCTGATGTTGTGGATAGTGGAGTCCTCCAGCAATTGAATGAGAGCAGTGGACACATCTCAGCATGTCGGTCTAGAGAGTTGTGAATCTAAACCTGGGACAGGCTGGGGCCATGGGGCAGAAACACCAGCCTCTGCCAACACCGGAACAAGCCAACAAGCCGAAGCTTCCAGACAAGGCAGAAAAGGCCTTTTGTAATGGAAATCACGTGAGGGTTAATCTTCTCTTGAGAATGGCAGTCAAGAAATGAGATGGTTCACCTGAATACTGAGCAGTTACACCCAGAAGAGCGTCAAAGAGGTGGTTGAGCCGGAGAAGAAACGGTTATGGTGGTATGATATAGGGTAAATGAACTTGAGTTTTTAACTTAATTGAGTTACAGTGTCTCTGAATTGAACATCTCATGTTGGAAGAAGATACTTTTGGGGGCTCCAGGACTAAAGTAGAAAAGTATAGAGTAAACAGTAAAATCTTCTAGTGAAAACTTACATGCAGGACAACAAAATGATGAGAGATATCCAAATACCAGACAAATCCACCAGGAAGGCTTTTGTTTAGGAGGTTGTTTCAAGAAGAACCAGGGATGAGGGAGGAAAAAAATGCTTTATCCATCGGAGTCAGTCATACAAAATTGCCTATTAGCATGAAAGAAAAATGTGAAGACTGTTAATACGCGAAGAGTGTGAATTCAGATGGCTTAGAAAAGTCTGATACCAGCCTACAAGCAGGGATAGAGTTGAGCCCATTGTAAGTATCATTGAAAACAAAATGTGCCAGTCAGCATGTCACAGAAAACGAACGAAGGACAACAAGAAGTGGATCAGAATATTTTGTTGACCTTCATGGGTTTACAGCCTGTGTCTCTAAACAAAGTATGGAAACAAGTAGAGCTTTTATTTTGCTTTTGTTTTCATTTTGTTTTGTTTTGTTCCCCACCTTACCCCCAAATAGAAAGGAGGGTTCTTAGTCTGTTTCTGACAATCTGTTAATTTAATAGAATAGCTGTCTTTCGTTTGCTTCCCAGTAGGCATAGTGGATTTAGTTAGAGAGCACATCTGTATGCTACAACTTGATTACATCTTTTTCTAGCTATTTTGCATTTTTCTTTTACCATGTTTCAGTTTCTGCATGTAGATTTAAATAGGAAACAAAACTTGTAAAGTTGTACCATTTCACTTGGAAATGCTGCCCAATCTTCACCAGCTTCAGAAATTTGACCTTTGCCAATGCTGCAATAAAGTGTTGTAATTTACATTCCGTGTGGTTTCATTCTCTTTGGTTTGGGCTTTGGGTACTTCCTGAGTGGGCAAATTACATTCAGAGATTAATTTCTAGCATTTCAATGAAAGGTTGCTTCTACTTCAGGGATTTCATGTTTGTGTGACGTAGGGACTTGATTTTGTTTACCTTCTGTGACAAGACAAAAAGTATCCTTTGCAGTCTAGTGAAAGAATAGGCTTAATGATGTTTAGGATGGAAACTGGCACAGCAGGGTTTTAGCCTAGGCAGCATTGATGCTTTTACCTGAGGGTATATGGCATATCAGTAAAAGCTAATGTGAGGCAGACATGTTTAAAAACTACAGGAGCAGCCACTGTGCCATTTCTTTCGGTGTATTGATTACAAGGCTGGCTTACATAATCTACATGGATTTAAGAATCACTATAGCTAATATGCAATTGAGAATCATTGAATTTTAAGAATATTTTAACAGCCTTTAAATTCCAAACTTCACTTACGGGAAGCTTGTCATCCAACCCTATTACAATATTCACCACTGGCCTGATGGTCCTTGCTTCTTTCTGGTTGAAAAGAGAGGTTTTTGTTTTTTTGTGGGGGTTTTGTTTATTTGTTTAAGATTTCTTTTTATTGGAAAGGCAGATCTACAGAGAGTGAGACAAAGAGGTTTTTCATTCTCTAGTTCACTCCCCAGAAGGCCGTAATGGCCAAAGATAAGCTGGTCCTAAGCCAGGAGCTTCTTTTGGCTCTCCTTTGTGGGTACAAGGTCCCAAGGCTTTGGCCCAACCTTCACTGCTTTCCCAATCACAAGCAGGGAGATGGATCGGAAGTGGAGCAGGTAGAACACAAACCGGTGCTCATGTGAGATGCCAACTCCTATAGCAGAGGATTAAGCATTTGAGCCACTATGTCACCCCAGAGAAGTTAATAAGTTTTATTATACTTACATTTTAGTTGTTAGGTTATTATAGGAAGCCAAGGATAATTTTAGAGCCATTCTTCATGTCATAAATTATACAAGGGGTAGAGAATGTGTGAAAATTGGTTGTGCAGTGATAAGTCACTGTCATCTAGGACAAATAAGCTCACTAGGTGATCTTGGCTTTTAGGAACCCATAAATAAAGTAGAGGAAATAGAATTCTTTCCCACATAGTAGCTTTATTTGTTTACATTAGCAAAGATAGGTTATTGATGACTGAAAGATTATATACCAGCCACAAAGAAACTTGCTATGCTTTAAAAGAAGAACCAGTATTTGGCCTTGCAGTTAAGGTGCCAAGGTTTGATGTCTGCATCCTGCTTTTTGATAATGGAGACTTAAAGACAACTGGAATGGCTCAAGTAACTGGATTCCTTCCATCCTATAGAAAGGACATACTGAGTTTCTAGCTTCCAGTTTCCAACTAGCGCCAGCCAAGGGCCGTTGCATGCAATTTGGAACAGGAAGAAGTTATTGAGAGTTCATCCTCTCCCCCTCTTCTCCACCAACCCGTTTTCCTCCCCTTCTTGTTCTCAAAGCTACCTGGATTTCAGGAATTCCTGTGATTCTCCAGTCTTTCACAAGTCCTTTTTGCCCCCTCATGACTTATTAAAGGGAAGCAGATATTAAAAAAAATCAAGCTATCAGAGCCTAGCACAGTAGTCTAGTGGCTAAAGTCCTCGCCTTGAACATGCCAGGATTCCATATGTGCAGTTCTAATCCCAGCAGCCCCGCTTCCCATCCTGCTCCTTGTTTGTGGCCTTGGAAAGCAGTTGAGAATAGCCCAAAACCTTAGGCCCCTGAACCCACATGGGAGATCCAGAAGAAGCTCTCATCCTCTGGCTTCCAGTTGGCACAGCTCCAGCTGTTGTGGCTGCTTGGGGAGTGAACCAGCAGATGGAAAATCTTCATCTTTGTCTCACCTTATCTCTGTGTTTCTGCCTCCTTTTGATTCCCATTTAGCATCTGAGAAGCTTCTAAGGCCTTTGGAAGCCTAAGGATCTAGCTTAAAGTTAATCCCTGTTCTTTGCTCTGAGGGCCCCTTAGGCCACTCTGACTGCCAAGAGTCATTTTAGACTGTTGGTTAAAATTAAGCAGCAACTAAATGGTTCCAGTTGGAGACCATTTTGCTAAATGAAATGAGCCAATCCTAAAATGACAAAAAATCATCACTGTAATATAAAACAACTTCCATTGAAAATATAAAACAAAAAGTGAAGGTAAACACACATACAAAACATTTATAATCTCCAATGAAGGGTATAATGGAGATCGGAGTACCAGGCATCAAAGTTGACAAAATGAAACTTCCAAATATACCTAGACAACTAAGTGTCATAATCCACATAAACAGAAAGTTGGGAGTCAAGACTATACCTGATAGGTTACTCTCTTTTTTTTTTTTAATTTTTATTAGATGTACAGAGAGGAGGAGAGACAGATAAGGAAGATCTATCCGCTGATTTATTCCCCAAGCAGCCACAACAGCTGGAGCTGCACTGATTTGAAGCCAGGAACCTGGAGCCTCTTCTGGGTCTTCTACACGGCTGCAGGGTCCCAAGACTTTGCATCGTTCTCGACTGCTTCCGGGAGCTGGAAGGGAAGAGGGGCTGCTGAGATTAGAACCGGCGCCCATATGGGATCCTGGTGCATGCAAGGTGAGGACTTTATGTGCTAAGCTACCACACTGAGTATTATTTTTAACTACAAAATGGCAGAGGAGGAAGCCCTATGCATGAAAATGGTAAAACGGAAAGTTAAATAACATGTACGTGTTTTTTAAAAAGTAAAAATATAGCTAAACAGCTAGAGGCTGACACAGCAGACTTGGCCATATCCCCCTGCTCATCACACTTGAGTGCCAGTTCAATTCCTGGCTGCTCCAATGGAAGCGGGCATAAGTGCTGGGTTTCCTGCTACCCCACATGGGACGCCAGAATATCCTGGCTCAGGTACACCATTTGGGAAAGGTGCCAGCTCTATGGGTGATCTCTGTCTGCCTCTAATCCCACTTCCAAAAAAAAAATCACTCACAGCTGGATAGAGGCAAGATCATACTTGGCTTTGAAAACCAAATAAGGAACAAGATAAGAAAACCTGGAAAGCAAAGATGGTACAAAAGTACAGGGAGGAGAAATTCCTCCTAGGGACAAAACCCAGAAAACCTATAAGCTGGTAGGGTATTAATCCTTGAATGTATGGAAGATTTTATCTTAGGAAAAACCCCTCATTTTATAGAGTAGAAATCACTGAGGAGCAAGATCAGTAATTAATGTTTTAAGAATAGTCCCAGAGTGGTGACTCTAGCAGCAAAAATGTAGACCTCACATTTCCCAACAACTTCTACTATATCATTTAACAAGATTAGGACTGGTTTAAAAACAAAACAAAACAAAACAAAAAACAAAGTTTGGAAAGAGCAGAGATGGAGTATATACAATTCCCCCTTCTAAAATGACTTTGCGTTTTATATATATGCATATATTTTGTTTTTCATGGTAAATTTTCCACCATGCAAAGTTCAGTGTGCTGGTTAGTTATTGAAAAGGTCTGGTTTGCATTTGCTCAATGCAGAGATTTTTATAAGGGTCCTAAAGTATGAAACCAAGCACAGAAATTTTCATTGGGACTTCAGAACTAAGTAGACATAATCAGAGCTCTCATAATCTTAAACTTTAACATTGCTATTATATTAACACTTGATTTTATAACAAAATGCCACAGGATAAACAGAAATTTATTTTTCAGAATCAGAAACTAGAAGTCCAAGATTGAAGGTGTCAGCAAGTCTGGTTTCTGAGGGCATTCTTCGTGTCCTCTCACGGGCTTTGTGTGCATCCTTTGAGTCCCCCACACCAGTCTTATATGAGTTACTGGGGAGTTAGGACTTCCATATAACCAGGAAGCATGGGGCATACAGAGGTGGCGAGAAGAGTCCCTTCCCATAGAACTGACATTCCAACAGGGAAAACAAGCAGTATGAATAATTGTGATGGTATCCACAAGGTGCTTAACACAGCTCCCGGGTCATAGGAGGATTGGCTTAATGGTTGCTGTTATTCTTAGACCTTTGCATGTGCTGCTTTCCAGTGCTGGCACAACTTTCAGTGTCTGGCTCCAGCTACTTTCAAGAGTCAGCTCACAATTCACCTGTTGTAGGAACCCTGTCCTGGCCCGTCACCCAGTTTAATTTAAGGGCACTCTTGAGTTTTATCCCAGGTCTCTGCCTGCTCACCCCTAGGGCAGAGATGAGTAGAGGAGGCTATTGGCTCTGCTGTTGTTCTGTAGAAGGGAGAAGGACAGACCTTTATAAGGAGTAGGAAGGTTGGGATTGAGGGAACTCTGTGAGATGCTCAACAAATGCTTCTCTCCGTAGATCTGGGACTTGGATCTGATCAACTCCAGGAAGTGGGCTTGGGCTTGTCAGACCAGCCCTTGACACAAGGGCTGCCTGGCCTCCAGCCTGTGCAGCCTGTGGATGAGCTCGCTCTTGTCTAGTCTGGCCTGATCAGTAGAGCTCAGGAATTTGGAGGCAGGTGCTTCTCGTAGCCATTTCCCCGTTTCACACAGACTCCACGTAATGACATAGCACTTGAGAGTGGTGGCAGGAAATGACTGAGGGGCAGACAATGTCAGTTGAGCACCATTCTTTTATAAGCTACATGACAAAACTCAGCCTCAGATGTATTTGCTGTTAGGGACTGCTCAGGATCAGAACTTTTTTTTTTTTCCTGTAGAAATTTGAGGCAAGAAATACCTGAAATGCCTTCTACATTCCAAGTAGCTTGTAAAGTCCAGGCTAACCATAGGGGTTGCCTGTTCATCTGCTTTTGTATACTGAACGCTTCTTGGATCATTTTAACCTCAAACTCTGTTTTCTCAACTATGAAGTATGGAAAGCAACAGGGTTGTATGAGGGATAAATGGGCTAATGTTTATAAGGCATAGTAGATATTGCAGATATATACTAGTACTGAGAGAAAAAAAATAATTAATGATATTACTACCACACCTTTTTGTGCCAGATATGGTG